AAATAAACATTTGGTATTATTTCGGTCTTACCACATTTTTTGATAAAATGTCTTAAATGAATGAATAATATGCTTATTAGTTGTAATCTGTCAGCTCTTCTTTTCGTCCGGCTTTGTGATTATTTGTATATCTTACTATGAATTTATATTTGATTTCACTTCTAATTTAACGCTCCAAAATACGCTCCAAAATATTTGGAAAAGTTTCTATTTTCGTCTATATATGTATGTATAGATTATTGCCTTCATTGTCAACTTCTAAAATGAAATTGATGCAGCAGAAAATGTCAACTTGAAACCTGATTTGAATTTATACAAAAAATTTGAATTTTTACAAAATTTTAAAAAAATTATGTTTTTCTTTTGCATTTCTGACTTTGAAATTCTAAGTTCTTGTTAGTTTTTCACTTAAAATGTCAATATATGAAATGTGCTACTTTGATTAAAGCGTCTACGATTGAATATTAGATTCTTAATCATTATATTATATTTTGCATACATTATGAATTAATTTAAAACAATAAACAAATAAAATTTTAAATGCTTAGCAAGGGTACTTTTTAATTAAAAAAAAAATATAGAAATTTTTATTCAAAATAAATTTTGTATAAAACTCCGCAAAAGAAATTGTAGATACCATCAGTCGGTCAAAAAAGTTTTCAAACACTAAGTGATTCATGATATTTTTAGTTCCAGATCTTACACCATTAAAGATATCCAATTGCTGTACTTATAGTACTCGTAATAACAAAAAACAAGTTAGTAAAAAATTGTTATTACTCGTAGTATTTTGTTGAGTTACCTTTCGCTGCTATTACATAGCATTCAAACGATTTTCCATGCTACCACTTAAAAATCTGCTACAACTTAGAAGTCTGCTGAGGGGTTCGGTATATATGTCGATTTTTTTAAAAGAACTTCCTGACGTAATTCCATATTTTCAAATTCGGCTTTCCAATTCGGCTTATTTTTGATTTAAAACTAATTACCAGCGCTTGATTTAGATTTTACGTGAGATTAGCAATTTTTTACAAAGTTAGAAATAGCATAATGTTAAAATATGTCTGTCTAAGATTCTGTTGGCATATGAAGTATTTTTTAAATGCTCCTATTTTTGTAGAACATTTTCAATAACTTATGTTGTATAACTATTTGCGTATAGGTATCTCGTTCTCAAATTTCTGGGAAATTTTTTTGAAAAATATACGAGTAAACACTATAGGTATAATTTTTCAATTTAAGTGCATTTTTTTTTTGCTAATTTGAAAATTATTTTTTCAGATCAAAGAAATTAACAAAAAATATGTGTATCTTAAATTGCTTCATAAATAAAACAGATGGCAGCTCAATTAATTTTAAAAAATTTCAAAATTAATGAATAATCATTAAAAATTTTGAATGAATTTTCTATTTATAATCAATTTGATCTTGTATGGTTCTTTTTATTTTCGTTATTGAATGAAGAGTATTTTTAGATTACAGCAGAATCAATAAATTCTTTCAAATTTTTTAAGTAATTTGGAGAGAATTTTGTATTGAACTTGATTCTGATGATTTTGCTTATGATTTCGCTTTAATAAGCAATATAAGAAGCAAATCAAACACAATTTGACTCTAGTCAAGTTTTTTTTGCGAGATTTTATGTAAACTAATTTAATTTTATCGAATACTGCCTTCATTTTTTCTCATTTATAATAAACTGTTTAACATTTTATCTTTATTTCTATTATTAAATAACTTTTCAATTACTAACCAATTTTTACATTGCGATCTCATTCGATATGACTATTTAGATTGTAGACAATTCGATTAAATTATTTTTTTTTTCGTAAATATATAAAAAGTTGTAAGTGCGGCAAATGTCAAGATAGTATCGACCTTTGATTCTATTAATCATTATTATGGTATTATAATTTATCTAAGGTAGAATAAAAAATTTATAAACCTAGACATTTTTAAAATAAAATTATTTCAGAAATTTTTCCATTTCATTTTATTTTTATCATAAATAGTTTCTCCCTGGTAATTCACAGAAGGTATAATGATGATAAAGGAAATTATCTCATTAATTGTTTATTAATTAATTAACTAAATGTTGTCAATATTTTCTACGTACATATATAGATATATTTTCGAATATTGATAAAAGAAAGTAATTAGAATGAATACTATATAATAAATATTTACGAATCCTAGAACAGTGTGACCTATCCTAATTAAATAAATAATTACCTTATTTCCGTATGTTGATTTGAGTAATTTCAATAAAATTTTTTAAATTATTAATTTAATTACTTATTTCATAAAAATTTAATAAAAGAATTTGGTTGAGATCACTAGAATACTAGTTTTTTAGTCATACTATAAATATGGTTAACTGTTTTTTAATTTAAGTGGTTTGTTGTTACTTTTACACAGTAATTAGAAATGGAATTTAACAACCTCAATTATTTATAACACTATTTTAATATCATTTATTTAGTAATTGATCATAATTAAGAAAATTTTTAAGTTACACGTTAATTAATTGGCACAGAAAAATTATTCAGAATTTTTGTGTTTATTACACAGTTATGTAAATAAGTATAAATTACACGCAAATACACACAAAATCTTATACTTGGTGTATAAACACGATCTCCACACGAACTTCATACGAAACAGCATTCCACTTATAAATTATACTCCTAAAATTAACCCTGTAGTAGTTCTCAGTGTTAAATTCTTTTAAAAGGCACGCACCCATTTTTGCGTATTAATTGAATATTATAATTTGGTAAAATTATAAGAATCTTTAAACAATAGGAAATAAATAAGACTTAAACTATTTTTTTCTTGAAGTAGAAAAATTTACTCAAATTAAAATTCAGTGTTGTACTTGAAATCGTAATAAAAAATGTTATAATATTCTAATGCCTAAAATTAATTTTATTTTATTTTTTTTTTGGCTTAAAATTTCATTTGACTTACTTAATAATTATTAATTCAATACCTAATTAAATTTCATTTTATTGATTCTCATTTCAATGAGTGTCATTTTACTCGTGATTGTGATTAAACTTTTTATTTTAATTATTTTTAATACTTATTAGGTTGTCACTACCTACAAAATTTTTTCTAGTTTTATTTACAGTTAGCAATGCTGATACATACATATACATATATCAGCATTTTCATAGCCAGTGCATTGGAAACGGAGACGTTTACTTCTAGAACGGTCCGCGATTGCAGGTAATTTTTGAACGAGATGTGCCAACCTGATTTAGGTTCCGGGTCATAATGGCATAGAATTTTTTGGGGCCCTATCTGAAGAGGAGGATTTGAGGATATCTCTGACTTCTGAGTAAATGTAACCTATTGCTAGGCAATGAGACAATAGACCTCGGGGAATTATTAGAGCTGTGATAGGGAATATAATTGGGCATTGTCTGATTAGCGAACATGCCAGAAGTATGGAACGTCCCATATTAACAATGTCTGCAGGAACGGCTACGACGAAGAACAGAATGAGACGATGGCTTACTTTTATGTTCATGTCTAGCTTTGGCATGACGAAGGTACCTGATCGTGAGTTACGGACCTAGCGAATGAAAATGCTAGAGATTTAAACCGAAAACATTAAAAGATGAGGATATGAAGATTCAGTGGTATCACAAACGGCCTATTTGGCCGAAGTATATTCTTTGACTAGAAATAACTACAAATTTTGTAAATTTGTAATTTTGTTTCATAGAAAATTTGGAATGCGGTCGGATATCTGCTACACAATAGTTTTTTCCAAAAAATCTTCCATCTTTTTTTTTTTTTTTGGTTATAAGTAGCTTGAAATATTTTGAGTAAAATAATAAAAATAATGAAATAGAAAAATTTTATTTTTATTTTAGATATAAAACTAATTAATTTTGATTTTTTCAAGGCCAAAAAATTTTAATAACATTTAATTTTTACGTGAGCCGGTTACGTTTATATCGAATATTTTAATATTGGTATTATCAGGTTTCATAAACAGAAATGATATTTCCAAAATGTTTACTAATTCCAGACACGCTACAAACTGTTAAAATTTAAACATTTTCGGTTATTGTTTAATATTAAATTATAAAGTCTAAAAATTTTATTTTGTCGGAATTTAGAAGATCGTACTGTTATTGCTGAATCAAACTGTAAACAAACGTGGAGTTAAATTTCTGAATTTTTTTACTGTTCGTATTTTACAAATATTCATAAACATAATGTATCCAAGCTAAAAGATATAATTATGTACATGCTCTCAATCTCTCAACGAATGATTGTAGAGTTTACATTCTGTTATGTTAGATACTTACATGTGCTGTGTTTATTGTAAAATAAAGTGTATGTATAAAATTTTAAAATTTATGAAAACTGAGTAAAAATTTTAAAATTTAATTAAGAGAATCTCTTTTACAATTTATCCAATTCTCTATTCTACGTTTTTGCCCAATTGTACAGGAAGCAGTGCAATATCGTTAGAGCGGTTAGTGCGGAAAATTTTTTAATTGTACAGTTAGTTTAAAAATTTTTTTGAAAAGTTTTTTTAAAGAAAATCAATTTGACAATGACATCCATTTTATTATTTTGAAAATACGTTCTATAAATTGTTTGTGAATGAACTAGTGAATTTTTGTTTGACGTCGTTGAAGATGCAATGTTTTTTATTTTTATTTCGACAGGGTTAAAGTTTGAACGATATTACATTTTTCGTGTTTCGAATGGGAAAATAAATGAACATTATTTGATAACGTTTTTTTAAGCATTCTTGTACTTACATTATATGAAAAGATCAAAAACGAATATGTATGAGTTTGAGCTTTTCAAGAGTAAAAGACTATATAGGAGCTAGTATAATTTTTTTAAGGTTGTGTTTGTTGGCGCTTCGTATAAAAATCGATCACGATAAGATAAAATTTTAGTAAAAATTCAGAATTGATTCGTTTGCGAGTAAGATCGATTTTTAGTGCATTTCTACTTTCAATAAAATGAAAACGTAATTCGGAATATTTTTGTTTTATAATAAAAATTAAATTATTTTTAAAATATTGTGAACCTTCCTACATAAAATGTAATAATGAATAATTTTTAGAGTATTTTATACAACAGTAATGTTAATTATAATACCAAAAAAAAAAAAAATGTTTCAAATTAAGTTTGTGATTTTTATAATTATTTTAAATTATTATAATAGAATAGTATATAGTTTAGAAACGCCATGTACTATAGATCAATCAATTGTATTGAATTCATATCAAAAACAAGATGACGATTCATATCTTGTTGATGATGGTACAAAAATACCAAAAAATTTAACATTTACAATAACAGATCAATTAAATAATAAATTAATTGTAAGAGGTTGTATATGTTTAATAAAAACCTGTGTACCATGGTGCTGTCCATATTTAAATCAAACTATGCAAAATCTCAAATGTACGGAACAAAAAGAGGATGAAATATTTGATGATGTCACAACAACATTAATAAAATCAAATGGAACTATTATTGAAAATGTCAGTTTTATGAAACAATTCTATTTACAAAAAAATAGAAATCTTAAATGTGATTCGGGATATACATATGCTTTTCGACATTTACATTTAGATGAAGATGTTTGGGAAGTACATGAGAATGGTTCATTGGTGATTATAACAGATTTAGAAAATCAAATAAAAGCTTATGTACCACAAAATGAGTTTTGTTTCGCTTTACATAGTTATGATGAAAATGATCTTAATAACACTAATGTGCTGCAACATGTAATTGGACCACATATTTGTATTGAAAACCCACCAGATGAAATAAGACATAAAATATTTGGAATTTGTAAGTTTTAATAATTTATTAAGTGTGGGTACAAAGTAAATTTTTTTTTTGTATACATTCGTTCTTTTGAATTAATTAATTATTGATTAGAAATATTGATCACTGATAATAAATTTATTTTTGTTAATAAAATTTTTTTGCCGCATATGAACACAGATAGTATGTTATTACCATATGTGTATATAAGATATCTGTTATACGGATAAAATTTCTTTTTTTAATGAACGAATAGTCATAAAAATTTTTTTGGTATTATACTTACTCAGAAAATAATGATTTTCTTTGGAAACTAATTGAATAACTGAATATTAATGAAATTATCATGAAAAATTTAGCAATTTGGAATTTATACTTTAAATTGGTATTAATTGTTATAATAAAAATTTCTCTAAATAATTTTTGTACATAAGTAAATATATTAAATGAAACGTGGAGTAATATGAACATTTAAGTGTATGAAAGAGAATTTTTTTTATTCAATTACAGTTATGTTCGGTTATATGGAACTTAAGGTTTATGTGTAGGCTTTTTTTTAGATTTAGGTATATATGCAAAATGGACTACAATACATAGTATAACAAAATTTAAAATAGAATTGATTTTAAATATTCTTTAAATGTTCCAAGAAAAGAAATTTGGTGATCAAATCAATTTATTAAACTGATTGTCAAAACATAGAAAACATAGAACACATAAAATTTTATTGTCAATAAAGACAAACTTCCTTTAATTAGATGTTCGAATGAAATGTCCTTTTGATTCATTCTTCTTTTTAATTTGAATTCAAATTTAAATTTTTAACGCATACATATATAGTTTATCATTAAAATTGGGTAAAAATTTTTTCGGGATTTCCCCATTATTTTTACTATACAAAATTGTGTACACACAAATAATAGAGTTATAGTGAGCTAAACTGTTATACATGAATGATCAAAATGCTTAATGATTATTTATTTATATTAAGTGTGTAATGCGATACTTGTAGTTCTATAATATACGTATACATTACATATTATACATATAGAGCACTCTATACTATATCAGCTTATACAAAATAGTAGTTGAAAGGGATATTCACAAAAACTTATTTTACTATACGTCCAATGCTCTTTATTTAAATTTGTATAGGCTAATTTTTTACTTCTACTCGTATACACACTCTGCTCCTGCACAATTTTTGCCATTTTTAAAAAAAAATTATTTTATTCTTATTTATTGGGTATTAATTGAAAAAAATTGCACCAAATCTCAGACTATTTCTGGTTCAAATAAGCTATGTCAGCCTGTTTTTCCCAAACAACTACCGCATGTTTGAAGTTTCTCTTTTTTGCTTAAAAAAAACTAAATTATTCAAACACTAACATTAACATTTTGACATTCTATATTTGGATGAATGAAAGTATTTTGCAAATAAGTTTACATACAACCCAGACAACATTATTTGTATGCGAAAATAAGTAGAAGTTTTTTTTGCGATGTTTTTGAAATATTAATGAAAATAGAATATTAAACTTTTGTTGAAATGCCTGGCTTTGCTGTTTAATACTTTATGTAAGCTTCAAATTCTTCATTATTCTTCCATAAGTTTGAGAATTAAAATTTACTTATAATTAGAGCTGAGGTCTGGGTTATTTTTTCGCTCATTCTATTGTATTGCATTTGATATATAATTATTGTGCACTTTTTAGTGTTTACTTACAGATTTGTGTTATGCGAGCTTATCATGTATTTATATGCGTTTGTGCAACGATTTTAATTTTTAATAACTGAATATCATGTTTGTATTATGTTTGAGCGTTCGTTTTAAAATCGATCGAAAAATCTCAGCGAAAACTCTTTTTCTTTTTTCATATTCGTATTACTGATTTTTGAAAATATATTTAGAGAAGTATTTTTGAGAAATAGAAAAACAAAAGTTTTTTGTTAAAGTTGTCAAAGGAAACTAAATGTTATGAATAACGCACTTACATATTTTTTGTGTGCACTAGAAATGAGGTACCAAAATTAATATACAAATCAGGTGAAAAATTAAATGAATCAGTTGTTACTCGCATATAAAACAAATTAAAAAAAAAAAATTCTTATCAGATAAGAAAAATTTTTAATAATTAGATGATTTCATAATTTTTGGAAGTGTATCACTTACCTTATAATAATTGTTTTTTATATATGTCAAGATAAATGTTATAATATAATTTTTATCTATTAAATTATATTATGTTATATTATAATTTAATAGATAAAAATTTTCTTCCTAAACCAATTTCTACATCCATTGAAAATTAAATGTTAATTTATATTAAATGGCTTATAAAGAAATGTTTCACTCAGTCGTTTTGCATGAGCTCAAAATGTCTGTATTAAGGGTAGTAGTATGAGAGGTTATGTATAAATACAACATTATCTGATCAGATGGGTTGTATATAATACAAAATGTATGAAATGTTGTGTGTGATATGTTTGATAGATTATTAAAAGTAACTTTCCGTTGTAATTGAAATAGAATATTGCTGATAAAATAATGCTATTTTTAAATATTGTCAATAATTGTTTTCCAGCATCAACTCTTTTTTATTGAAAGGAAATCATAGTTGTATCATTTCAAACATGTTCGTGTGTGGTAAAAATCTTTCTCTGAAAATATCATGAATATAACACAATTATATTACGATAATGATTCAAGTTACGAAATGTTTGACAAACCAAAATTTAAATCATTTCGTATCTTATTTAAACGTATATTAATATATAGTAAATCTATATATACTTATGTAGCGTAATTTAATAAATATTATTAAACAAATTAAGTTAATTGAATAAAAGTTTCTAAAAAAAAAAACTTTTCTTTTTAGGTCTTCTTGTATCGCAACCATTTATGATTATAACAATTATAATCTATCTTGCTATACCAAAATTAAGGAATTTACATGGAAAGGCTTTAGTATGTTATTTAAGTTCATTGTCTATATCATATTTTGGATTAGCTTATATATTGCTTGGTAAAAATCATGACGAACATTTTGGATTTTGTACATTTGTCGGTGAGTTTATTATATATACATATATAACAATTTGTGTTTTTATTATTTATTAGTGTATATAGATTTTTTTAATTCTAAATCAATGACATTTCTTATTTTATTTTTATATAGGTTATGTAGTTTATGTTACAATTTTATCAGCATATTTTTGGTTAAGTGCAATTAGCTTTGATTTATGGTATAATTTTAATAATTATGACAAAGCTAGAGCATATCAAAATGTACGATTTTTAACATATTGTGGAATTTGTTATGGTACAGCATTAATATATATGATAACAGCATATCTTGTACAAAATTCTGGCGCATCAGATAGTGTTAAACCAGGAATGGGTACATTTTATTGTTATTTAAATGGTAATTTTTGAATTTGAAATAATTTTTTTTTTTTTTTGCATTTTTGTATGATTGATTTTTTTTTATTTTTTTAGTTGAAACTGGTTATTCAGCTGTTATATGGTTATATGGGCCATTAAGTTGTGTTATAATATTTAATATAACAATGTTTATTTTAACTTGGAGAAATATTAAAGCAGTATCATATGAATTGAGTCGAGTAATGGATAAACGAAATTTAAAGAGTGAACGAAACCAGTATGCTAAATTTTTTTTTTAAAAATCTTATATAACTATTGTTTCTAAATTTGTTATATGTTTCTCAATTTCCATCAATTTATTTTTTATTTTTATCAGTTTTATTGATTATTTTTAATTTAAAATATAATATTTTAAGATCCCACAAAATTGATCGGATCCATTTTAGTTAGACTCACTATGTTATTGAGAAATTATTATTAGGAGTCTCATTTTACACCTCATATTTTTTAGTAACTTTCAAAACAGAATTCTCAATTATTTTTTTTTTGTACATTATAAGTTAGAAAAAATTACTCAATTTTTGAATTGATTTTTCTCATTTTTCTCAATATGTATAAGAATTTTAAGATATCGACTTAACACTTTCTGTTTGTCACCTTTTAAAATAAAGTGAATAAATGGTGACTGTTACTGAATTTACTGTAGTTTTTGAAAAAAGTGAGTCCATAATATGAAAAACTTGTTTCTCATTATAAAAGTTTCATTAGCACAATTCGTAATATTCACTCATTTTTTCCTCACCCAGATATTGTAAATGATGACAAAGGCACCTTAAACATTAGTAATTTATACTATACGACAGAATATAATAAATATACATCTAGTTCAATTATTTTCTAGGTTTCTTTAGACCCGTATTCAAACGTATGTTTGAAGGGTATTATAAAATTGTCTTACTGTTGGCATAATTAAAATCATAGTAATATGTTCCAGAGTCACCTATGGTATATTTGTTCGTCCATATATAGGATAAGTAGTTCGTACAGATATCACAGAGTTCACATGATCAACTCTATTTTTTCTCATTTATTTATTTATTTTTTTAAATTAAAATTTAAATAATTGTCATTATGTAATTATTGTGGACTTGAGTACAGGAAAAATTGGTGGAAATTGTTTTGAATTTTAAATTTTATTCTTAAATTTTTTGTTTCAAATTTATTTTATTTTTTTTTTCTTTAATTGTAAATAATTATATCGACTAATTATTTTATTATTATTTTTTTTTTTATTTTTTATGTTTGACGATATATTGTGTCTTATGTGTTGTGTCATCTTTAACCCAAAAAAAAACCAAAATTTTAAATTTTTCTTATAATTTAAAGAGAGATATTCTTTAGGTTTCATATATTTTTACGTTTATTCGTTATAATGGGAGTCTCATGGGTTGCTGAAATTGCATCATATTTTGTAGGACAACAGTATCAACATTTTTTTTATGTTACAGATTTTTTTAATGTAATGCAAGGATTATTAATATTTATATTATTTGTTCTTAAAAATGATACAAAGAAATTGATATTAAAGAGGTAAGTGTAAAAATAAAAAAAAAATAAAATAAAATCAAATAAAAAAAATTAATATTAATTTATGTGTAAATTTTATGGATTTTATGGTGGTGCGCTTTGTGTTACCGTTATCATGTACATAATACATGTATATACATAATACTTGTTTGCTGCAACACTGACATAACTCAAAATTGCATATTTGAGAGAAGTGAATTTTTTAAAGTTTTGCGGTTAATATATTTTTCTCGCGCTACATAGCATTATTTTATTGTGAATGACAATTTTCAAGCTAGAGAAATGTTGTTTTTACTCAGAAATCGTATTTGTTGAATTACGTCACTATGTTGCAGTAAATGAACGCTATGTATTATAATTCATGTTATTGGATTTCATTTTTTAGAAATGCTGTGTTTTAACTAAATATTATTTACTCTCCCACTTTCTACATATTTGACTTGTATACTGATTACTTATTATAATTGAAACGTATTAAATAAATTCCTCAGTTTAAAGCTTTATTGAATAATGTACGTGTAATACCTGCCATTTTATGATGTCGTCAAAAAGTTCCTATTATTCATAATACTGTGTGATTTAAAATTTTTTTAATTGTCACTCAAACAAATAAATTTTTTTTAAATTTGCCAAAAAAAAAATTCAGAAAAACAAAATTTTAAGAAAGTTTTTTCAAAAATCTTATTTTCAAAAAAAAATATTTTTTTTTTTAAATATTTTCGGTTTTGAGTAATGGTGATCGAGTGAAATTCGTGTCGCGATCGACTGGTGGATTTCGATCACCTGATTGGGCAAGCCTGTATAACATCTTTTAATTTCATCTGAATGTTATTTCAAGTGACATCATTTGACACTATTTAAGATATTCAAAAAAATTTCAATTTTTATTTAATTAATTTTTTTTTTTTTGTGTGATTTTGTTTGGTTGTTTTATAATGTATGCAGTTCAAGTTATGACGTTTTCTATTTTTTAATGTTATTTATTGCAAATGTTTTGAATTTACAATGTGTATAGAATAATAAAATTTAATCGAAAAAAATTTAACATTTTTATTAACATTTTTAGGTTTGAATTTTTATCAAAACATGAAAATACTAACAGTGGTGAACGTTTCATGTTAATTGATGGTAGAAAAAATTCTAATAAATAATATTAATTTTTTTTTTTTTAAATTTAATTGGGATCAAAAGAAATATATACAAAAAAAATTGTTGTAATTTTTAATTAATTAAAAATTATATTAAAAAATGTAACAATATTTAATTGTAATTTAGTTTGTTTTCTTCCATATTCACTATAACAGTAAATTTTACATTTGCAGTGTATTAATCATTTTTAAATGTTTGTATTGTTTTTTCCTTACTAGACTAAAATATTTTGATTTAACATTTAAATCATATTCATATTATAGGTATTTTTCAGAAATAAAATAATTTTTGTTTTAATATGAAATTTAATTTGGAAAATACGAGTAGTTAATAAAAAAAAAAAATTAACATATATAAACGGGTGGACCATAAGTTATTTAAAGTTTTATACAAATAAGCTCTCAAACAACGCTATAACTTCCGTATTTTTAATTCAAAAGTTATAGTTGTATTTTCTATGTTCTCATGCATGGTTGTAGACAAATTAGTTAACTTTATATTTGATTAATTTTATTTATTCCAGTTTTGTATTCCGGACAATGTGAAATTTTAATTCTATATAAATTCTCGCGAATTCTAGAAAATGGGCGATTACAATAAAACTCTAACAATCCTTGATCGCTCCTTTAATGGCATATTACGATTATTAATACCTTAAAAATTTGTCTATAACCCTAAAAGAACAAAAACAACCAAATATTAAACATTTTAAGCAAAAAGTAATTCTTTAGTGAGTTATGGTCACCCCTGCATTATTTTTAAAAAAAGTTATTTTAGAGAAACTAAAATTAAGCATCAATAATTAATACCTAAAACATTTCATTGCAATTATTACATATCATAACAGGTGCACAAGTTTTAAAATGTATTTTTGGAATAAAATTTTTATTTAGAATATGTTTAAACATTTAGAATGGTTTTGTATATTAACATTTTAAGTAGGTTGCATGAGCAATAAGTTAATTTAAATAAAAAACAAAAAAGAGAAAAAATATTTCTTTTTAGAACTTTCCCGGCCATCGGTTGATTGTCCGTCCGTCTGTCCGTGTGTCCGTTTACAAAACTTCTACACTCTTTTAAGATAGAAAGCTGAAATTTTATGTATAAATTGATTTTTAATAGAAATTTATTTCGGTAGAAGAAATTTTTTACCAATATCCGACCCTCTAAAAGTTAAAGCCCCTCAAAATTCTATAAATGCCATTTTTTGATTTAACAAAACCACAAACATTTTTTAAATTCTTTAAAAGTATTGAGCTTTTTCTAAAGCGGCATATTTTGTTGACTTTTGTTAAAACAAAAACAAAATAGTTGTTCAAATTAACCGTTATCCAAAATTAGATTTTTTAAATTTTTGATATCGTTTTTCTTTTTATCCCTTCTCAAGTTATCGGAACTTGAAATTTGTAAAATTAGAATTTTCGACTGGTTATATTTTCGGAACTGTAAGCTTTTTTTAAATTAAATCAAAAAATATAATTAATTATCTTAACTCATGCAGTTAGCTCGTTGGATTCGAACAGTATGGTAACGTCTTTTTCAGTTTTCTTTATCTTATCCCAAATATATGCAATCATTTGAAATATTTTGGAATATGATTGAAAGTATGTAAGTTTAAACAATGTAATATAGATAATTTTAACAACGGTATTTTCGAGTTATTGAATTGAAAAGTGTCACTCCAAAAATCAATGGTTTGAGTCAACGTTATATATAAATATTTTTTAAGGAATTTCGAATATTTAAATTTCAATTTTTAAAAAGTATCATTGCAACCTACTTAAAAATTATTAATAATAAGTAGATATATGTACATTTTTACATTATTTCATGTTATTATTTTAAATGCGTATCCACCATTTAAAATTGCAATTGCTATATTTATTTTATATAATATATGTACATATATATTTTTGACTATAGGTATGATCAAATACGAGGTAATAGACAATATTCAAGACAATATTCAAGGACGACTAGCAGTAATATGGTGTCAATGAATCAATTGTAAAATTACAATTAATGTCTTATATATTATAAGGATGAAAAACAATTGAACTATTCAGATTTAAGTGAGAATTGAACTATTTTAAAAATAAAAAATAATTATGAATTTAGAAAAAAAACGCATGCGCTTAAAATACGTATTATCACTAATATTTTTATGGTATAACATAAAAAAAAAAGCATAAAAGTCTCTGTGTATTAACAAAAAAAAAATTGACATTTTATTTAGATTAAGAATTAATTTATGTTTAATAAATTTATCTTTACATTAATTTTTCATTACAAAACTTTTTAATGTACATACATACTTATTGTAAGAATATTTTAAATGAATTAAAATTGATTAATAAAAAACAAATTTAATGAAAAAATTTTATTTATTAATTGAATTAATTTTATTCGTTTAGAATTTTTAAAATTTAAATGCCTTTTAAAATTAATTAAAACAATTATTTGAAATAAATTGAGATAAAAAATTTACGATATGGAGAGAAGTGATTTACGATATTGAGAGTAGTAATTTACAACATTAATAAAAATAACTTACGCAGTACCGATACGTTAACACGCTGTAAAGAAAAGTGTTGTCGATTTTGCCTGCCTCATTAACTGTCCTACACGGAATCGAGCATGAGGTCAACGTTCTATTGGCAACGTGGATTTGTAACACAATAGCTAATTTGCAACATATTTCGTCCCCGATTATTCTTTTACGGGGTATATTATTTGTATGCATTCTCGCCTGGAAGATTTTAGCGCTCGTTCTCATTAAAATACTATGTTTTAAGCACATATATTCTATAGCTGAATTGAGCAGTTCCAAATAGCTTCAGTTAAACAGATTTATGCCCGTCTACAATATTTCTAGGCCTGTTTCAATAGTATTATAAGTATCCCCATTTCCACACCCGTAAATTGCATAGTATAATTAAATTAGTAAATGCATAGTATATATAAATTAGTGTAGAGTATACATGCATTTCACTATAGATGAAGAGTCTTGCTAAAATGCTTTACTCTGATTTTTTAACAATAGCTTGTCGTAACACAACTCTTATCTCATCGTTTTTATTGAGGAAATATTGTGATCCAACATTACAGAGATGAGAAGTATGTAACAAAGTTTCGTTTTGAAAAAACAAAATTTAACTTTGAATGTCTAAAAAAGCTGTTATTGGGAACTTTTTCAAAATCAATGCGAAGGATAGGGAAATTTTATCCAGATAGTTTTCAAAAGCCCGCACTCAATCTGAACCAAAAAGTGAGAAAAAATTCAAGTAGCATGGAAGTGATTGTGTCTACTTTATGATATTCGTAGGAATATTTTCAATAAGTTATGTGACGCCTTCCGGCTCATAAAGATTATGTTAATATTCTAGTAGAAATATTGTCGTGGAACTGAATTTGTACCAATTTTTGAGGTACGGGTAATTTTTTTTTTAAATTGAAAGTGACATCCCAAATTGTATAAGTACTTACTTATATATAACAAATAAACAGATTTTGCGAAATAGTTCTATTGTCAAAATCTTTTGTGTCAAATTTGAACGTCCTAGTTCTTAAAGTTTCCGATATATAACTAAATTACTTTTGAAGTTTTATGACGGTTATTGAAAGAACTGAAATTTTATACTACCACAAGAAAGTTTATCATAATAATGGCCATAATTTTATCATACGAGTAAATATATATGTGTAATAAACACAATGTTCTTTTTCATTACGAGTATTTAACATTTTTTTATTCAAACTCGAATTGACAAGACTATGTCTGTCGGGGCAACCAGCTTTTTTATAATAATGAATGACAATATCATAAATATGTATGTATGTACGTGCTCTGGTTAGCAAAAATATTTGTGGCTTACATTTAAAAAATATAAATTTAATACTTAAATTCAGTTTATGTCGTGTTCTTGTAACAATAACTTGGAGTCTACCGCATTTTTAAACATTAAAAATGAAATATTTGTATACAATGTAATTTTATATACAATTTATTTAAATACAAAAAGTAAAAATCACGAATGATAATTTTAAAATTGTATAAAAATATTTTTATTTTAAAAATATTTCGAACAAAATTAAAATGATTTCTTACAACATTACGATTTTATTAGTACTTTTAATTAGTCTTAATATATTTGCCCAAGATTCAAATACTTTTCCTTGTGAAATTGACGAATCCATTGAATTAAATTTAAATGAAAAACAATTGGATGACTCATATATTGCAGACGATATCCGAATACCAAAGGAGTATATTTTTAAAACTATAGATAATACAACTAATGAAACAATAACCAGAGGATGTATTTGTTTGGTTAAAATGTGTTTGCCAGGATGTTGTTCGAATTTAAATGAATCTTTTCACGATCTAAACTGTATAGAACAGAATTATGATAAAATTATAGATTCATATACAAATTTAATAAAAAATGATTCAACTGTTATAGAAAATATAAATTTTTATCAAAATTTCTATTTAAAAAAAAATTTTAAAATTGATTGCAATACTGGAAAAACTTATGCTTTTAAACCACATCTAACAAATGATGATATATGGGAAATTCATGAAAATACCTCTTTAAAAATTTTTTTACCCGATGGCAATACTGTATATGTACCACCAGAAGAATTTTGTTTTGCTATATCAACTGAAGATGACAATTTTTATGACATTCAACCGTATATTTGTAGTTATGAAGAGCCAAATAATACAAGAAATATTGTTTTTGCAATTTGTAAGTATATAATTAATTAAAAAATAATTTAAATATTAAATAAAAATTTAAATACTTAGTAATAAATTCTTATATATGAAATAATTGCTCTTTAGCACAATTTGCGTCATTTTTATAACAAATTGTGACTACAATTTAGTTTATAAACTTTTAATAATTCATTCAGTACTATTGATTTGAATATTTCTAAATTTATCTTGTATTCCATTTTTTCTCTTAGACTCCCACAAGTTATACATATGGGCCCTTATACATATAGATATTACCAAAAACGTATAATCGACCCTTAATAAAAAACTCGGTTTCCAAGCTTGATCCAGAAAAATTTTTAAGTTGATTGTTTGTACAATAGCCAAATTTTAGAAAAGTCTTTAAGCTTAAGAAAATAAAAATTATTACAAATTTAAAATTGGACCATAAATTGATCCAGTTATTGAAGCAAATGCACACATTGACAGACACACAGACGACACTGACACGTTCCTCTATCACCGAGATTACAGTTAAAAATTCTACATACGAAAGTTGTAGTGCCGGTTGCGGTGGGCAAAATTTATTTATAATCAGTGGTTTGAGTTCTTCTCCTCAATTGCATGTTTGGTTTATGTCAATTTTCCCGAGATATTTGCATATGTGATATATATGTGATAAAAGAAGATAAATGTTTTAATAAAACTTGTGTGAAAACTATTTTTATATATGGACACACATGTGTGCTTACATTTTCTATTAAATTTCTATTAAAAATTTATCTCATACAAAAATGTGTGACGACATTAATTTAAAATTGAATAAAGAAAGATTATTCAATTATATAAAAAGCATTATATAAGTATTGTGCAAATTAATTAAACAGTGTGCATTTGACAATTACATAATTAATGCGTTCACAGTTATAAAACAAAAGAAATTATCTATCTATTTCGCCTTTATTATAAGATTACAGAACTGCAAGAAATTTTTACTCTTTTGACGTAAATGAAAACCAATTACGAGTATAATGTTAATGTTACGAGTATTTTAGTTAAATTTACATTTTAGAAGTGAAAACCCATTTAATATTGCACAGTTATTAAAAAAAAAAAAGTGAAATAAAAAATGAATATTAGTAAATTTTTAATATTTTTATTTATTTTAAATAAATTGGAAAATTTTGTTAAAACTTTTGATATTCCATGTAATTTTAATGAATCAATTGAATTAAATTGGAATGAGAAACAACAAAATGAATCATACTTTATTGGCAATACAATATTGCCGAAAGAACTAACATTTATAACTACGAATTATACAACAAACAAAACAACAACAAGAGGTTGTATTTGTTTGATTAAAACATGTTTGCCATGGTGTTGTTCCCAATTAAATGAATCTTATCATAATCTTATTTGTAAAGAAAGAAATTATAAAATATTTTTTAATACTAATTTTAATACAACTTTAGTAAAATACGATGAAACCATTTTAAAAAATGTAAATTTTTTTAAAACTTTTCATATAAGAAAAAATAGTGAAATTAAATGTGAAACTGGGAAAACATTTGTTTTTAATCCATTCAAAACTAAAAATGATTTCTGGGAAATTCATGAAAATGGTTCTATAAGAATAAGAGCTGGTTTTAATGAGAAACGTATAATTTATTTATCGTCAAGAAGTTTTTGTTTTGCTCTATTTACTTATAATAATGGAAAAAGAGATATTTATGAAGTTGGACCATATGTTTGTTTGTCAAAAACCTCAGATGAAATTAGACATAAATTCTACGCGATTTGTAAGTAAATATGTATATGATTGGTGATATTGTAACCTTTATTAAAAATTAATTCATTATAATATTTTAAATGAGCCGTACATTTAAAATCGTGCATTGAAATATCAATATAAGGCAGATTTGATTTTTAAATGCTAAAAATATTTTTAAAATTATTTAAAATTTTTGAAATTATTATTTTTCATTTTCATTATTTTATATTTACAGCTTTTCTATTGTCTCAACCTTTTATGATTATTACAATAATAGTGTATTTAGCAATTAAAAAGTTGCGAAATTTACATGGAAAAGCTCTAGTATGTCATTTAAGCTCATTATCAATATCATATTTTTGTTTAGCTGGGATTTTATTAGGAAATAATCGTGATTATTTTGAAGTATGTACTGTAATTGGTAAGTGTTTATGTTGTAATTGATATTGTTAATTTATTATGACAGATTGAAAGTCAATTTGGCTTATTATAATGTTACACACATATGCAAAACAGTTAATGTAAAAAAAGAAAATAGCATTAAAATTGAAATTTAGATTTTATTTCACGGTCGGCGGTTAAATTCGTAGCGAATAGCGATAATATTACTCGGTCCTAGGCAGTCCCATTTAAATATGTTTATTCTCTATGGATTCTGATATTTCGCCTCGAAAAATTGCTCTTGTTCTGTTTTCAAAACTTAAGTCAGATTGATATTAATTGTTGGGTATTTACATATGTGTTTGTTCTTATTGTAATTTAAATTCAATTTCCTTATTGTCTTTTTTTTGTGTATATTTTTAGGTTATATTTGCTATTTTACAATTTTGTCGGCTTATTTTTGGTTAAGTGCAATTAGTTTTGATTTATGGTTTAATTTTAATTGTTATGACAAAGCAAAATCATGTCAAAATTTTCGTTTTGGTATTTATTGTTTAATTTGTTATGGTACAGCTATATTTTATGTAATAATTGCTTATATAGTCCAAAATTATGGGAAAAAAGATAATGTTAAACCAGGATTAGGATCGACTCATTGTTACTTGAATGGTAAATATAAAATATGACATATAAAATAAATAAATATTTAAATTAAAAATCCAAAATAATGTACGAAATTTAATTTAAAAAATTAAAAACTTACTGGTAAAACTTATTGGTAAAACTGCCAAATTAATATAAGTATTATATTTTCTTAATATTTATAATTATAGTTGAAGAAGGTTTTTCTGCTGTAATATGGTTATATTTCCCATTGATATGTGTTATAACATTTAATATAGTGATGTTTGTATTGACATGGATAAAAATTAAATCTGTAACATCTGAATTAGGTCACATTATGAATAAGGGCAATAGCCAACGTAGTATAAAAAATGAACGTAACAAGTGAGTTAATCATTGTTTTATTTTTTTTGTTTCATTATTAATTTATTAAAAAAGATACAATTTTTTTTTTAGTTTTCACATATTTTTACGTTTATTTGTTATTATGGGAGTTTCATGGATTACTGAAATAATTTCATATTTTGTTGGAACCAATTATCAAGAATATTTTTATGCAACTGATTTTTGTAATGCTATGCAAGGATTGCTTATTTTTATATTATTTGTCTGTAAGAAACAAACAAGAGAGCTAATTGTGGAAACCTGGTACGCATTAATCTTATATTATGTGCACTAAATTTGTGTTTGTTATTAAATATACATACATACATATTTATACATACATATGTTAATTTCAGTAAAATAAAATTTTTATTTTTTAGGTCTGAAAATCGTTCTTAAAACTTATTATCATTATTATACTATTATGGTAAAAAGTTACACAAAAAATTTTTGATATTAATTTTTCTTACAAATTTTTTTTTCATTTTCTAAACATATTCACACATACATACGTTATATACATTTTTGCATAATATCTTAAGTATATTATTTTTTGATTTTGCAGCAATTTACAATAATTAGACGAATATGTATATAGCTTTTCCTGAAATTAGTTTATTTCTAATTTTGCATGCACAAACTCTTGTCCAGCATAGTTTCTTAAAGCTCATTTTTTCTCTAACGTGCTTATTTGCTTACTACTTCCTTATAACTCACTACCCTTACTGCTTGTAACAACGCGTTTTTTTAATTTTATAAAAATTGATTAATTATTTATCAGAATGCAACGTGATTTCGTAGATCATGAAATTCTCCAGATTTTCTTATATCAATCGTTTTATATAGAGCTACCTATAATTTGCATATGCAGTCGAAAAGTATGATTTTTAAGTATAATAATCGAAAGTATAATTATTGTCGTGTCAATATTCAAAAACGATTTAAGCAACTAAGAAATAGAAGTGTCATTCTACTTTAAATGACTGTTTGTGTCATTTAAAGTAGTACAAAATTTTCATTCCTTTTCGATTTTAAAAAAATTTCGATTTTATTAGTAAAAATCGATTCATCATTGTTCTTTTTTTTTGTACATATACATATGTGTTTATATTATAATTTATTAAATACTCATATTAAATATGTATATGTACATATTAATAATCTATTAATTATTTTTTTTTTCGTTATATAGGTCGAAACGCAATCAAGGTACAAATTATTTTTATTATGTAAAATACACAAAATATGATTGATAATAAAAATAAATATTTTTTTTTAGGTTCTGAAAGATCTGAATCTAGATTTATATCAAAACCAACACGGAAATGGATGTCGAAATTTAAAAAAAGTAAAAACATTGATGAGTCATCATTATCAACGCAGACCACAAACGTTTCCCAAAATTCAATATAATATTACATATGTAGCTATAACATACCAGTGTAATACTTGTATACGATTACAAACTTTCACATTTAACAATATTTATATGTTTTCAATAATTGTCAAATTGATTTTAGAAAATTGTATATGAAATCAAATATGTACGTGAAAGTATATTATAATTTTATTCATTAAATTTATTCTTAATATTAATTAATGCCAATTTATCTCGTAATTAATTTGGCAAATCTCGTAAGTTACAATCAGTATTTATCAAAATAAAGTGAAAAATATTATTAAAAAATTTTAAAATATAATTTATTTTCATATTGATTTTTAATAAAACTACAAATTTTAAATTATATTCCAAGATATAGTACGATTGAATTCATCAGCAATTATATATATATTTTATTACATATAATTCATATCATAGATGAAAGAAGGAGAAACCTGTAGAAACTAAGTTGACATTTTATATAATTACCTTCTAATTATATTGGTATTTAATATAGAAAAAAACCGACAAAACTTGATCATATCAATAATAAAAATTAAAGATTTTTTCTTATCACTTTAGAAATAAAATTATGATGTGCTTCGCATTTCATTAATATTTACAATGTATATTTAGTCTAGTCAACAAAAAATTAGATTTCTGCCACTGAAAATTAATAATTTTAGTAATAATTTTACTAGCAAGGCGGGTAATTGTTTAAAATTTAAGAAACAATTTCAAAATTTTATTTTAATCAAAATTACGCAGTAAATTTTTTTAAAGTGCTTATAGTTTAAAATTTTCTTATAATAATAAATAAACTTGATATGTATTCGTGCAAATTCTTCTTAAATATTAAAATATTGTAATTATATATACATAATATATGTGTGTATTTTAAATATTCAAAATATAGACCTATATACTTCTAAATGTAAAAATTAAAAACATGCGTTTCATATTATTTTTATATTTATTTTTGATTTTAATAATAAATAAAAATAAAATTAAAGCAAATTCAATAATTCCTTGCAATTTGGAAGATTCTGTATTGATTCCGAAAGAATTATTTTTAAATACTTCTCATATTATTTACGATGGAGTTTATATACCAAAACATTTAACATTCACAATAGAATCAAATTTGTATGGTTGTATTTGTATGATTAAAAAATGTGTACCATGGTGTTGTTCAAATAAAAATCAAAGTTTTAAAAATGGTATTTGTAAAGATGAAATTATAAATGAAAAAAATATTAATAAACATGTTCGTGTACGTTCAAAATATGATATTAGAATAATTAATAATTTTTTTGATTATTTTCATATTCAATTGAATAAAAAATTAAATTGTAAAATGTATTCATTAGATGCTGTAAGAAATTTTTATGATGAATGGCAAATATTTTATGATAATGGAACAATTTATATGCCACGTTCAATTAATAATTTTTATAAAAATAAAAATGAATATTGTTTTGCTTTGGAAACCTACCGGAATTTGCATGATATTAATTTTATGATTACACCATATTTATGCTATCAAAAGTCTTTATTAAGGAACGTCAATTTGTACGGAATTAGTAAGTTATTTTTATAAGAATTGAGTAGAGAAAGGGCAGAGAAAACCATTAGGCCAGTTGGTAATTTTCGAGGGTAAAACAATATCAAATTGAAAAAAATCTTTCTGAAGTATTTCTATAAATTCTTTCTATTATAGAAATTGGTTTCTTCTATAATTTTATTAATCACATGTTTCCATTTTGAATGATTCCATAGTTTCATTACCAGAACACAAACCTGACGAGCGTAAAAAGCAGACTATAATCCAGAATGAAATTTAGAAGCATATACATTTTTTTTTTCAATTTTATTGGAAATAAACTAAGAAAGCGATAATTATTATCGTTTACTTTTCCATTATTCAGCTGATTAAAAAATTTTAAATGCCAATTAAAGATAACACTTGTAAATAAATAAATATTAACAAATCTAAAGAAGTAAAAAATTTTGAACTGAAATGAGAAAACTTTTTTGTTTATATTTTTTTACAGGTTTGTTTCATGCTTTACTTTTTATAACAGCATCTATTTTAGTAATTTTATTAAAGAAAAATTCACGTAATTTACATGGAATTCAAGTAATTTTTTTCTTGAGTTCATTATCAATTTCATACTATTGCTTGATTTTAGTATTATTGGGACCACAGAATTTTAGTTTGTTATATAATAAGTTCTGTACATTAATTGGTAAGTACATACATTTAACATAAAATATTGCATGTTAATAATACAAGTTTTAATAATACAAAACATACCCTGCCCCTGCGCGTTCCTAATATTCTTAATATTAATTTACACTACACATACCTAACGTACTTTATATAGCAACAACAACTTGACTACAGGATAAATCAAGTTGACAGAATATATTATTACATATTATGTTAATTTGACATTTTTCTTTGTAGAGAGAATTCGATTTAATTAAATTTTGATACTTTTAATATCGAACTTTTATCAAATATCGGATTATTATCAAATATATCGAATCAAGCGTGATTAGTATTAATAAAAAGGTATCAAACTGTAAGAGTAGTTTTGATCTAAAGTTTTTGTATGCTAGTTATACATTTTTTTTGTATATGTTACTAACAAATAATGTTTACGTCATTTAGATGGCACCTTGAGTGCTTAACTTGAAATCATATCGAATCTCAAGCAACGCTTTTACTATGTCAGGTTGAAAGCCAGAAAACGACATCTAGTTATTAGATTTAAAATCATTATTAACATTTTAAGTCAAGTAACAAACATTTTTTGATTGAATAATTTTCATACTTGGTTAATATTTAGTTTGTGATACTTACGAATATATATTTCAGGTTATGTTGCTTATTTCAGTATTCTGTTAGCAGCCTTCTGGTTAATTTCGATTAATTATGATAATTTATGTCATAGATTTGTTTACAATAATGGTAGTCAAAGTAAAATACGAGTAGAAAGAAAGAGAATATTTTCAAAATATTGTTGTATTTGTTTTGGAGCTGCAGCAACTTATGTAATATTGGCGTATTTTAAACAAAATTCAAATTCGTCATATGGTGCAAAACCAGGTTTTGGTAGTGATTTTTGTTATATAACAGGTAAAATTTTAAATATAACTATTACTTTTTTAATATTATAATATTATTTTCAATAAAAATTATTATTTTATATATTTACACAGATTTATTTTTTGTGGAAAATTTTGGTTATGTTGCGGTTATTTGGTTATATACTCCTATAACTTCTGTCATTTTTATTAATATTTGTATACTTTTTTCGTCATGGAAAAATATTAAAAAAGCAGAATTATTTGTATATTCAAACCTAATAAAAGATAAAAATTTTATAAAAAAATTCAAAATAATAAAACACAAGTAGGTCTAAATTTTAAGGTTATATTCTTGCTCTTTGTTTCATGACTTAGAAAAATTATTATATTTTTCGTATAACACAAATACTTTGACATTTATTCTTTTTTTTTTAATTTATTTTTAGATTCGATACATCATTATATTTGTCGATTATTATACAAATCGGATGGATACTTGAAATACTAGCATATTTTTTATCGAATGAAAAATTCCAACTTTTTTATATAGCTGATTCATATATAGTTTTAGAGGGATTTTTAATATTTCTATTATTTACTTTAAGAAAATGTCCTGTACAATAAAATATCAATGAATTTGCATACTTTAATACAATGGGAATACTGACAATGGTAGAATTTTTAATATAGTTTAAAATTAAATTTTTATAAAAAATTTAAAATTTAATTTTTATGAAAATTAATTAACAACAGGATGGTGTAGCGTTGTTGAAACAAAGAAATATAAGTATGTATATGCACATTAGTTATAAAGATCTTTCATATAGGAGTAGTAATTTTTGGTCAATGTTTGATTTTATTTGAAAAAATTAATTTAAAGTAAGGGGGCTTATTATGAGGATTGAAGGAAACGGCGGGAACCTATTAATGAGCTCAGTCTACATGGCTCATGATAGGCCTGCTCCACCTCCGGAAGTTCAAAACCTAGCAGGGGTTGGCGAAGCCGAAGGAGCAAGTCTGCTTATGGGTTGCGACGCCAATGCCAGACATACCCTCTGGGGCAGCACAGAGATCAACGAACGAGGTGAGTCTTTATTTAATTTTGTCTTAGATAGTAGTCTGGAGATAGCAAATAGAGGCAACACCCCTACCTTCACTTTTCCTAGCACAGACAGGTTTGCTGGCTGGGAAGATGTGATAGATATAACACTTAAAACTAACAACTGTATAATCGAGGACTGGAGGGTATCTAGCAAAAGGTCGTATTCTGACCATGCCTGGATAATCTTCACAGTGGGATTCGAAGTTGGGAATCCCAAACCTTTTAGGAACCCTAAAAGAACAGATTGGGTTAAATTCAGAACCATCGTGCGGGCCAAGTTCATGGTCATGCCCGATATGAACAACTATATTAAAGAAGTTGAAGAACTTGATGCGCAAATCAGTAGATTTGAGAAAGTCATGGGCGTGGCTTTCAGAGCATCATGTCCTTTGAAATATTCAAAAAAAAAGTATCCCCCGTGGTGGAACGAAGACTTGAGTAATCTCCGGAAGATTACCAGGGATGTCTTCAATATCTGCTACAAGAATGGGTTCTGGCAACCTTATAAGGAGTGCCTGAGAGAGTATAAGAGGGCTATCCGTTCCGCAAAAAGCCAGGGTTGGAGGGATTTTTGTGGAACTGTAGAATGTACCAGGGATTCTGCCAGATTGGGCAGAGTGCTTTCCAAGGACCATACCAGTCCTTCTTTTCTGAAGGATGGGGGTGGGACATGGACAAAAACATCTATGGAAACTCTCAATTTACTAGTGGACACGCATTTCCCGGGTAATACCGGGTCGGCTCGGGAGGCTATCCAGTTGGATTCCCTTCCGGGGCAGCCTGTGTCGAGTGAAATGGTTGAAGCTATTATAACGGTGGAGAAGGTTAGCTGGGCGATGGATAACTTCTCTCCATACAAAACGGCGGGGATAGATGAGATATTTCCAGCTATGTTACAGAAGACGAAGGAACTAATAGTTCCGTGGCTTCTAAAAGTTTTTAGAAGTTGTCTTATCCTTGGATACGTGCCCAAGTCGTGGAAACGTGTAAAAGTTGTTTTCATTCCCAAACCGGGAAGAAGGGGCCATGAGGGCGCCAAAGATTTTCGACCAATTAGTTTGACTTCCTTCGTTCTAAAAGCGCTGGAGCGCGTTCTGGAGCTAGGGCTCAGGAACAGAATGAAGGAAGTTCGACTTTCGCCTTCCCAGCATGCATATTGCGGGGGAAGTTCCACAGACACCGCACTACACGAGGTAGTGAGGACTATCGAACAATCTATCCATTATAAGCAATACACGTTGGCGGCCTTTCTAGATGTGGAAAGTGCTTTCAACAATATTGGTTCGTGGGCCATAGAAAATTCTCTGACTCAGTTGGGTTTGGAAGATGCTGTGGTACGCTGGATATTATCCATGCTGCGGACCAGAATCCTGTATTCGGATATTGGTGATAGTAGTGTCACAAGGTACATTAGTAGAGGAACGCCCCAAGGTGGGGTGATTTCGCCGCTTTTGTGGCTTGTTGTTATGAACGAAGTTCTACTGCAACTTGACGAAAGACGAGTGAAGGCAGTGGCATACGCTGACGACCTAGTAATCCTGGTTTCCGGCTTTGACCTTCCAACAATCAGTGGGGTTTTGGAAGGATCTCTAAATGTGGTGAGCTCTTGGGCTAAAAGATGTGGCCTTGGAGTGAACCCAGCCAAGACGGAACTTGTACTTTTTACGACTAAGACAAAAATCCCGAGCTTTGGACTGCCTCGATTGGGTGGTTTGCCGCTCAGTTTGAGTCCAACAGTTAAGTATTTGGGAGTCATACTCGACTCTAAGCTTAACTGGAAGCTTAACGTGCAAGAGAGGGTGAACAGGGCCTGTACGGCACTTTACACCTGCAAAAAGATGGTCGGCAGGAGGTGGGGACTAAAACCTAGAATGGTTTTATGGTTATACACGGCCATTGTACGACCTACATTAACTTACGGTTCACTCGTGTGGAGGCGCGTTGGAGAAAGCTTACAACTGTACCAAGATCGGTAGGGTACAGAGGGCTGCATGCATAAGCATTACGGGGGCATTGAGATCGACGCCCACGGACGCTATGGATGTACTCCTCCATTTGCTTCCACCAGACATCCATATTAAGAATCTGGCCGCGGCAAACGCCGTTAGACTCAGAGAAGCTGAGTGCTGGCACGAAAAGCCGTATGGCCACGGCAATGTCCTTCAGTCACTACCGGACGGAGTGGTTGCAGATGCTACAGACTATTGTATCCCTAGACCTGAGCTTGACAAAAAGTTTCGGGTTGAGCTTCCGTCTCGCGGGCAGTGGAAAAGAAATCTTCCACTGCAAGGCTTTGATATTGCTCTCTTCACTGACGGTTCCAAGGATAGGAATGGGGTCGGTGCTGGAGTATTTTCAGAGACTCAGAACATATCGGAGTCATATCGCCTTCCCGACAGATCAAGCGTGTTCCAGGCGGAAGTATTCGCCATATGGAAGGCATGCGAAATCCTGGGAAGGGATTTGGTTGTGGCCCGGGAGGTCGCAATTGTGACGGATAGTCAGGCTGCGATTCTGGCTCTAAATTCGCCAAAGATATTCTCAAAGTTGGTAGGGCTTTGCTACGATGAGCTGACGAGATTGTGCAGTCATCATAGTATCACCTTACTCTGGGTTCCGGGACATAGGAACATACCAGGAAATGAGCGGGCTGACGAACTGGCCAGATGTGGGTCGGCATTGGACGGCTCCAGGGCCGAGCGAGTTCTTGTCCCTATAAACACCATCAAAACTGATATATATCGCTTCCAAGTGACATGTGCGGACCACAGGTGGAGGGGCCTGAGCACATGTGCAACGGCTAGGAAGACGTGGCCGAAATACGACCATAAGAAATCAATGAGCCTCCTGGCGATGCCTCGACCGGACATAGCTAAGTTAGTGGCTGTGTACACGGGGCATTGGCCTGTGGGGGATCATGCAGCTAGGCTGGGAATGCCCTTTAATACGTCATGCCGCAGTTGTCGGGAGATAGACAAAAAAGAGACGCTTTTTCACTATCTCTGCGAGTGTCCGGCTCTTCAAAGGGCCAGGTTGTTGTCATTTGGGGAAACGGACATAATGGAACTGGGGAACATTTCTAGTAAAAGTATCGGGGACGTAGATAAGTTCCTTAAAAGAACGGGGTGGCTCTGATCGCTGGCCCTGGACCAACGTACTTTGACAACCGGGTTTCACGAGGCGGTGGTAGCAAAACGGCACGTCAGTGCTAATTGGGGTGTTGGCCAGTTGTGTCGCACCAGCCACTCTAACCAACCAACCAACCAACCAAGGGGGCTTATTCGGCAACCCGTCAGTCTAGCTTTTTCATTGATGTTTTGACATCAGAACTTACCAAAAACCATAATATCATAAGCTAGTTATTACTTGCCTTTTTAAGTATTTACACAACGAAAGCATTTATATTCCTTCATATATTAATTTTTTACATTAAATTTACAGGTTCTTGCAATGCAAGAATGAACTTGTGGTTATAATTATTAGTAAACATAAAATTTCAATGTATATAAGTGTATAATATGCTTATATGTATGTATGTACATAAATGTACACATGTACGTGTGCGTAAATATATATACAAAATTTATAGAATAAAAATAGTACATAATATGTGAAAGCTATTAATAAAATATTTAAATTTAAATTCAGCGATTTCTAAGAAGACTGAACGCTTTTTTCATTAAGTGACAAGTTGGCCGTTGCTCTTTTAATAAAATAATAAAAAGAAATATCATAAGTTAAAAATAGCGCGATTTAAAACAATTAAATCGGATAAAAAAAAGCTAAATACGTGTAAACATTTCTGAGAAACAATTATCAAATATTGCGACGCTTATAATGTGTTCGTACTCAACCAGTGATACCGAGATATTTAATTACCCCGAAAGAAGCTTTTGGAAATTGGATTATTTACATATATGTATTCATACTTCAAATACTACAAATTTCATCGATATTGTATCTTATACACACATACATGATATAAGTATAATATTAGTTAATATTATTGTAAACATACTACAAAAATTTATGAATGAACGATAAATACATTAGTTTAGTTTTTCATCAACCATAGCCCATGGGCTATAGTGGTCTACTAATTCATAAACCTGAGAGTAATAGAAAACAAAACACCTAAATAACCCGTGAAATAGCTTTTTATTTTTATTATTGTTTCTCACTTCTCATGTTAAAAACAGGTTTATGTTCTCTCAAAATTAACAAAATGTTCGTTTATTTAATTCTTAAAATACGATTTTCTAAAATAGAAACATATTTTAATAAAATTATTCTAAATATAAAAAATAATAAATTTTAACTTTTTCTAAGAAATCAATGTTAATGAAATACATGTTATAGCAATAATGAGCTGCCTGTCCTCGTAAAAAAAAACTTTAATTAACAGACATTATATAACAGACATTTTATATGCGATTTAGTTTTCTCTGAGTGTCCAAACCTAATTTTTTATTAAGCTAAAGTTGTATATGTGGAAACAAACCTGTGTATGCATATATTCAACCAAAACCTTAATTAATTTTAAATTTAAGATCAAGAAAATGTTTAAGCGAAAAATGTAAGCGAATAATTAAATTTTGTATAACAGTCATAACTGTAAAATGAAGAAAAATTACGCGAATTTAGAGCATGGGAGTTGAGAGTATTTTATGGCAAAAAAAAACACAAATATATACATAATAAAAATAAAAAACAAATACAGTAGAAATATACTAGGTGAATTCGGCGCTTCGGAATGGCGCACTGATGGTTAAAGTACTCACTATACATTGTTTTTCTATGATTCATCATCAATAAAATCGAAAAAGTGGAGAGTAAGCAGTGCTATTTCCGTTTGGAAGAGAATGAGACGGCAGAGCATTTGCTTTGCAAGTGTGTGGCTATGGCCCGCCTAAAGGTAAGGTATTTTCGGTGGAACCCCTTCGAAAGTTTGACGATTCCCAGCGGACGTAATATTGAGATTCGCCGCTAATATACGAGTATAAAGTGTAGTCATAAGGCTCCGGTTCTCCGCTACAACACAAAAATATGTTTAAATATGTGTCATCATCAAATATCCTGCTTAACGTCAGTCGAAATTCTTTATGCTTTAATATGCTAATAAGGATTTTTTTTTTATTAAAGAATAAAATTTTTTAACTTTCATCTAACTTGACTGTATTTTTTTTGTTTGCCATTTATAACAACATCAGTTAACTTTTATGACGTAAAATGCAAATAGACAGGATTTAACAGATAAAATATTTAAAATATATATCAGCATAAAATGTAAGTTAAATTTTTTTTACATTTAACATAACTATACATACAAAATAGGCATACATACATACATATATTCTATACAAAGAAACATTTTTGTGAATTACGTAGTTTGGTTTTTTAAATGCTTTTGGGATTTTTTTGCTTTAACATCTCTTATAATCGTATTTTTTGAATTGCAAAAATTATTTTAATATTAAATTTAAACAGACCGACTTTAGTAATGTTATTATAAATAAGCTTTATGTTGTTGATATAGTTTTAATATACGACCATTTTAGATATACGATTTTTCATTTCTTTGCACTTTTCAATTAACGAATCATTTGAAAAAATAAGTTAAGTAATTTATGTTCTTATTTACTTGAAAAATAAGAAATAACGTTTTGTTATTAATACAATTTTAAGATGCCAAAATTTACGAGATCGTATATCATTTTTTTTTTTAATTTTTATTATACTGTTACCATCACTGAACGTTATGGCAAATTTCATTCGATTTGGTATTACAATTTCTCCATTTTCTTCAAATACAGTAAAAAAATACTATAAATTTACAATATAGTAACGTAAATATCGGTACTATAATAACGTAAATATTTGTACTATATAATATCGTAAATATTTTCCATTTTGAATTACTTAATTAGAATATGTTAAAAATCATTTAAAAAGAGTAATTTCTCAATAAAATTATTATTTTAACATCCTCTCATTTAAGAATCATTCCTTCTTCATCTTAAATAAAACATTTCATAGTTAAATTAAAAATATGATAAATTTAACTTGAAATAAATAAAATGAGAGAATTACAAAAAAAAATTTATAAGAAATAATAATTAAAATTAATTGATTCTATGAAATAATTAAATAATATAACAGAGAGATAAAGTCATATTTATTGTTATATTATCATTATTGATGACTTTGGTGATTGATTTCCTCAATTTTCCCATTTTCAATATCGCTATTGAATAATTATTAAAATAAATAAAAAATTTCCATTTTTATACAATTGATGTATTATATACGTTATCAGAAAGTACGAGAGATTTAAGAATGCTGCAGAGAATAAATAATTATTACGATTAATGCACTATAATATATAAAATGATCTATTTTATTCTATTTTATTATATAATTAAGAATGTAACATTGTAATATAATAATAATAATGATAATAATAAAACTAGATCATTCCATTATTTATTTAAATTAATAATTGACAATTGCTACAGCGTTGTAGCTTTTCCTTTAAATGTAGTCGGTGAGAGTGTAATATTGTTTATATATACCGCATATTCAGACTGATTTTTGATTAGTATAGTTTAAGACTCGAGATATTCAACTACAATAATACGAAACAGAACTTGTGATATTAATAATTAAAATATAATTATTAATTTATAAAACTCATTTATAAAAAATCATTATATTTTCAATATTATTTAAATTTAAATTAAATTCATTAAAATTTATTTATTAAAACAAATATAGAAAATGTATATAATAAGTGTTTTTAAATTATTTTTATATATTTCATTATTTAATTTAATTAATAATAAAATTAATTGCAAATCAATTACATATCCATGTAATATACAAGATTCTGTTATATTAGAAGAATCACAAAAAATATCAAATGGATCTTATGTTTATGATAATATTTTAATACCAGAACATTTAACTTATGAAATTAAATCAATTAAATATGGATGCATTTGTTTAATTAAAAATTGTGTATCTTGGTGTTGTTCAAATAAATATCAAAGTTATAGTAATAATATTTGTAGAGATGAATTAATTAAACAAACTGATGATATAAATGATGAAATATTAACATTAACATCAGATAAAATAAAATTTAAAATTAATTTTTTTGATTATTTTCATATACAAACAAATAAAAAATTAAAATGTAGTAAAACATATGGATTAAATCATTATGAAAATGATTATGATGAATGGCATATATTTGATAACGGTACAATATATCAACCAATTTATGAAGATGAAGGAGAATTAGCATATGCTCATAAGGATACTTATTGTTTTGCTTTAGATGTACATAATGTTGATGGCAATACAACTTTAATTGTTTCACCACATTTCTGTCAATATGAACCAAGTAATCATTTCTCTCTATATGGAATATGTAAGTTGATTGTTATATTTTACATAGAATTAGCTTAGTCTTTAATAATGGTAAATTTTGTGTTGGAAATTCTGATTCATAGTCAAAAAACCCGCTTTCATTTATGTTTAAAGTTAATATTGTAATTTTAAAATTGTTAAAAAATGTTATTAAGGTTTTCTTCGGTGAGATATGAACAATTTGTCACCAATTTTTGTCATGTATTTGTTTTTCTTTAAATAAGCAAGAAATCTGATTAAAAGAGCAATCAATATAGCTAAACTAAGAGAGTAAAAAATTCATACACTATAGCATATTGAAATTGACACGGGTATAAAAGAGAAATAGGCCAACTTTAGGAAATTGTACTACCCGGGCTAACATGCTGAGGGTAATTATTGCAGCAATGGCTTGAGTGGGATTCAACTTTGTAAATCACCTTTGTTGACTTTTATAGGATCTTCGATATAATCCTTATGCTAAATTTTTTAAAACATAATAAAAGTTAACAAAAATTTTTTCCGCAATAATCACTTGAGTGAGCAAATAGATCCTATCCAAACAGCAGGAAAAGAAGGTGAAGAACTATCCTTCTCCTGTAAACCTTGAAATTATTAAGAGTATATCACCTACTGTTAAGGGAAAAAGGTGGACTATTATACGAATAGATTACAAAAGATGTAGAACATATATGTGACATAAATATAGATCTACTTATGTATATATACAGTTATAAGGACATGCAAGAAAAATTAAACAGATGGAATTATAGCTCTGAGAAAATTAGATAGCTTAATAATTTCTTAAAAGTTCATACTTTTATACTAGCAATATATAAATTAACATATTTTCTACGTTATTGTAGTTGTAACTTCTGTAGAGCTTTCATTAGTAACTTTCAAATCGTGAATTTATTTTGAATTTCGTAGAAGAGTTTAATATGTGGGTAAATTGTTGAATTTATGCTAATATTGATTATAGAAAAGTTAAATTTACAACAGTATTTTATTCCACTTAAACAAAACTTAATAATGACGATGCTATGGGTTTTTTTATTATGTAAGTTATTTTTATAGACTTGAATCTTACTACGAAAATTTTTTTTTTCCAATTAATCATTTCTGAACATCTTTGGCGGTTATTTGAAATTTCACCTTTGTGTAAATTTACACATTTGTGTATAATTACACAATAAATGTAAAAATTAAACATGTAGGATTTAACATTAATCTTTTATGGATCTAAGGATTTCCTGCAATATTTCGAAAGAGCAAATTAATTTTCAATTCGCTAAAATTAAGTTCGAAGAAAACACAACCTTAAAATTGCAGTGAAAATTGTTTTGCTAAAAAACAATTCAGTGTGAAACTTTTACACTGATTTGTGTATTATTACCGTATTACTGTAATTTTGAGGTAAAAGCAAATTTTAGTACGGGCCTTTGTATTTATTTTAATATTTAAAATTACTTACAAGTATTACAACATAATTAATAATTTTTCTTTAATTTTTTTTTGTTTTTTGTTTTTGTAGCCCTACTTGTCGCTCAGCCATTTATTCTTCTTACAATTATAGCACTGTTAATAAAGTCGAAACAATATACTATACATGTATATGCATTGATTGGCCATTTGTGTTCACTATCTATTTCATATATTTGTTTGGCCTATATTATGCTTGAAACAAATCACGATGAACATATCAATTTGTGCACTTCAATTGGTAAATATTATTTTTATTTTAGAATATATGATAAATTTTTAACTATAGGTGGGGTTCCTTGAAATTTGAATGTTGACTTTAAATTATAATAATAAATATTAATGTCATTGCCATATTAAGTTTTGGCACATAATTGAGAGTTCGATTAGAAAATTAACAAATTTTTCTTCGGTTTTGTTCTTGAATTATAGAAGAATATCTTTTAAATATATTGTAGTTGTTGTTATATTTTTTAATTTCATTTATTGCTTTTAATTGTATATAAATATTTATTAATTTAATTTTATATTTTAGGATATATTGCATATTTCGCAATCATATCAGCATATTTTTGGTTAAATGCAATTGGCTGTGATTTATTTTACAATTTTAATACTTATTATAATGGTATTGAACTTGATAAAAAATTACGAAATAAAGTAGTTTTAAGGTATGCTGGAATTTCTCATGGAATTGCTATTATTTTTACAATAACAGCATATTTGGTTCAAATGTCTGGTGTTCCAAATGGTATAAAGCCAGGATTCGGTGATTTATATTGTTATTTAAATGGTAATTTTTAATATTCCAAAAGACAAATAAGTTTTTAAAATTTCATATATTTTTTTTTTATTTTCATATAATAGTTGCAAGTGGTTATTCAGCTCTAATATGGTTGTATATTCCTTTAATAATTGTTGTTACTTATAATACTATAATGTTTGTAATGTTATGGAGAAAATTCAATATTGCTGAGTTACTTATAAAGCGAAACACTGAAATAAATCGAAATAAGTAAGTACATAAATTTTTTTAAACTGCATTAAGTGCTTTAGTGATCTAACTAATGTACTAATACACAAACAAATTATTTATTTATTTTCAGATTTCTTACATTTTTATATCTCTTTATTGTCATGGGTATTTTATGGATCTTTGAAATAATCTCATATTTTGTTGGTGTTGAGTATATTTATTTCTTTTATATAACTGATATACACAACATATCGATCGGTCTGTTGATATTTTTGTTTGTTATTAGTAGAAAAAAACCAGAGATACCATACTAGCAAAATTGTAAGTATATATTAAAATATTTTGTAAATATTAATAACATTAATAATGAATTTGACATGAGAATGTGTAATTTATATAAGAGTTACTAGTCAATCTCTCTCTCTCTCTCTCAAAATGCATTATTAATGGTCATATTAATGTTGTTCTGCTATAAATTTTCTAAATTTTTGAATATTTTTTATAATATCCTAATTTTTATTATTTTAGTTTTATAAAATTTAACTAAAAAGCATCTGTAATACATGTGTAGTATAACAAATTACGTTGATCAACATATTCATAAAACGTCATATATCAATCATTAATATATGTACATAAAGTTGTATATAAATATATATTGCTAGTTGGAAATATTCTATATATTTTGAATATAACAGTTTTTATAATCTGTAAAGTAAATAAAGTTTTGTTATATAAAATTTATACTAGGTTTATTTTTATAACATTAATTACTGATGGTCGGACGGAAAATATGTACTTCTCAAACACGTGTAGTACCAGCATACGAAACCCAAATGAACGCGGTATGCCGCTATCAAAATTGTTGATTCCTATTGTCATAACGAAACCGAAGGACTTTTTGGCTGCCTGCCGTATTGATAGGCAGAGAAAATATAACTTTTAATTTTTTTTTGTTATTGCTCTCTTAGACATCTTGTTTAGAAATAACAACTGCTCATGTAACTGTGTATGTGTGTTTCAAATTGCTTCATGTGAACTTAATATGAAAATAAATTTATACAATTCTAAAATTGATAAGTAATTTGCAATTTCATTTTTTGCAAACCAACGCATATCACTAACTTTCACCATTCATATATACATACAAAATATAGACCGATTTGATTAAACACTCATAATGCACAATAATATATATTAAGTCATGAGTCAGGAACTAAAAAAAAATGAAAAATTGACATCTATGTAATTTTATCTTTCTGTTCACATAAGATTTGATAAGTTTTGTATTTGATTGTACTAGTATAAACACTTTAAGAAATTGATCAAAAGCCAATAAATTCTGATTCACATTTCATAAGTAAAATTATTTATTTACATAAACCGCGAAAATATTTCAATAGGTGTAGACAACTTACACTATTGATATGATTTATAAGTATAGTGTTACCATAAAAAAATTATAATTAAAATTGTAAAATTTGAGTAAAATTTTAAAATAAGAAATTTTTAATTTTTTTTTTATGAGTATTTCTTTATTTCCTCACAAAGGTTAATCAGTTTTAAATCAGTTTGTTTTTAAAAATATAAAAATTTGTAAATACAAGTAGGTGTTCTACCATTTAGAGCACCTACTGTTATACAATACCAAGCTAAAATCATTTATTACGATAGGTTTGGTAACGCTGACATTTTACTGCGATTCTAATGCTACAAATTAATTTTTAATACTATTTTATTAGTAGTACTCGGAGGGCTCTAACGTACATTATTAATTAAAGAAAATAAATTTTATAAAATTTTTATTTAATAATATTTAAAAAAATAAGTTGTTAATGCAATCCAAAATTATTAATATAAAATTTTAAATGTTATAGAATAAAAGAATAATATATAAATATGGATTTATTTTTAATAAAATTAATTATTTTGAATATTTTTATATTTAATTTCGTAAATATTAAAGCTAATACTGAAATAGACAAACCTTGTAAAATTGAAGAATCTATAATTCTTACAGAAAATCATAAATTATTAAATGGTTCTTATCAATATGATGATGTTGTTATACCAAAAAATTTAACATACAATTTGAATAGCACAATATTATATGGTTGTATTTGTTTAGTTAAAGAATGTATTCCATGGTGTTGTTCCCATAAAAATCAAAGTCTTAATAATGATATTTGTATTGATGAAAATCCAAATGATAATGTTATTGTGGAGGGAAATTTATTGAATTCCAAAAATGAAAATTACACAATAAATTTATTTAAATATTTTCATATTCAAATGGAAAAAAAATTACAATGTAGAAAAACGTATGCATTAAATCAATTAAAAAATCCTAATGATACTTGGCATATACTTGAGAACGGTACTATATATGAATCAGCTAATGCTGATTATATGGATATGGCATATTCTAACAAGGAAACATATTGTTTAGCTTTAGAAAAATATGATAAAAATAATAGTCAAATATTTATGGTATCACCATATTTTTGTCAATATGATCCAGATGCAGATCGTCATGCTATATATGGAGTTGGTAAGATTTCTTTTTTTAAAAACAAAAATATTTAGTTATATTGTTCAAGTATTTATGGTTCACATGTTTTGTATAACGAAATTGTAATGATTTTGTATACTGTAAATGAGACACTGAGTTGTGAGAGCCCGCGCTGATCTGATGAAATACGAGTTCAGGTTGATATTAAATAATTTTTTAAAATTTATAAATTTTTTCGAGCACATATAGATTTAATCATAAGTTAGGATCTGATTCTTAAAAAAGAGCAAGAATTTTTAGCTTTGAATGATTTGTGGTAAAAGCAAATCGTTCCATAACATATAAATAATGGTTTCATTCAAAACTTCATTTTAATGTCAAAATATCTTCATAATCCATACTTTAATATTGACTTATAGTTTTGATTAATTCATAAAATTAAATAATTCTTTTATTTTCACATAAATGGATAAGTTATGGTATGCATGTATGAATGTACATAATTATTTTTAAAGGGAAATCCCTAGATTTTCATTAATTATTTTTATCACTAAAAAAACATACATATGTACATATTCTAAGTACATAAAACATAGTATAGATAAAAATTTCACATTTTTATCTATACTACATTCTGCATACGAATGCACATACATACAGGAATCTTAAATCTAAATACGTACATATATGTACATACATATATAACTATAACTGATCTGTTTAAATTCTTTTATATTAATATGCACCTGTCGAACGTTCCAGTGGAAATTGTTTGAATGGTGTTGATCTTTTTAACTTTTATTATTTATTTTTGTGGTTTTCATTTCATAACAAAAAAACAATTGTACAGACTTTATTCAATTTCCAACTAAAAGGAAAACCACTATTAGAATATACCCATGAATCATGATTTTTTGTTTGTTTAATAATAAAAGATTCAATAATACAAATTATTTTTTTTTTTATTATCAAATCTATATTTTTATATTAAATTAAAGAAGAAAGTTTTGTTATCTGAAAACAAAATTTCGAGACTAACCCAATTTAAATGTAATGGTAAAAATTCTATAAATTAGATTGTAGTTCAATATTTTTCCGTTATCCAGACAGAGTAAGTAGTCTTGGGAGATCAAAATCGAAAGCGTACAAATTACTTTATTAATTAATTGATTACCAGTGTAAACGTCGATTATTTATTTTTACATTTTATAACTGCCTTTCAAAGATAAATGCCGCAGGGATTGCATTATACTGTCTGACTGCGTTACTAAAATTGTTACATACTCCTAATTCCAGAGTTCTATATAAATGATCGTTTTGTTTATTATACGTTATTGTACCGTACTTCATAATGTAAGAACAGTTTTCGACAATTAAGAGTCATGAGTCAAATTTATATTATTATTTTTAGTTGTTGTGTTATTGATTTTATTTTATATGTGCTATATATACACTGTCATAGTTGACATGCTTATATTAAGTTTGTACAAATTTTTTATGGCCTTAATTTTGTAATGTCTGCATTTTCTTTATATATTTTAATACACATTTTAAGAAACGCAAGTTGAATTTTTTCTGTTATGATCATACGCAAATAATCATTATTTTAATAAACATAATGAACATAATAAGAAAATGAACAAGAAGAAATTCCGTAAAATCGTCTTCAGAATTTTCAACTAATCAATGTGATCTTGATAATTTTCTATCTTAATGAACGCGGCAGCGCGCAGCATGTGTCAGAATGAGAATGGAAAATATTATTATATTAAATTCACTTCTTCTTATACCTAGATACAGGATTTTGATCATCCTCAATTTTACTTATTTATCATGTTGCAGTTGAATGTGTCTGGGTAAGAGGAAAATCTATTTTAGTAAAATTATTTTTCCAGGCACTAGAACCATTTCTATCAATTTTATTCTTTTTAAAAAATTTTCTTCTTACTGTATAAGTGCAACAACCAATGCTAGAAATTTTACACATTTTTACATTTTATTAAAGCAGAGAATTTTTCCAATAACTTTACAATAAAATTTTTATTTTCATTCACTTTCAACCTTGATTTTTGTTATTGTATTTATTTTTATAGTTTGTTATACAAATCTTCAACTCTCTATTTTAAACATTTATTTTATCTTATAGTGTTAATTTTTTCTTTTATTTTATTTTTAGCATTTTTAGTATCGCAACCATTCATGATCATTACAATTATTGTTTATTTAATAATTCCAAAATTACGTAATTTACATGGAAAAGCATTGGTTAGCTATTTAAGTTCCTTATCAATTTCGTACTTTTGTTTAGCATATATTTTACTTGAAACAGATCATGAAAACTTTTTGGGTACTTGTATTTTAGTTGGTAAGTACAATTAAAGTAAAATTATTTTGATCCTACGAGACTTTACTTTAAAACGTATTCATATAAATAATTGACTTATTATGTATGGCGAATTCACCAAAAATTTTGGTTAATGTGACTGTTTGGATCAGTATATATACTATGATTTGACCAGATTTCTTGGTGAATTCGAAAAAAAATCTTGCAAAGAAAAAATTATATGAGAAATACCCGAATTTATTGAAAGTATATTTAAGAATTTTATTGTGATAAAATTCCAAAAAAAAAAAACTACTGCCATTTGTGAATCATTTACCATACATAATACCAGACGCTAGCGAATTTGCTTAATTTAGTATATTATAATATTCGTATAAGTTTTGCTGAGACATATTATTTTCAATTTCTTTTTTGCGTATGGTACACCATCTGTTGTCAAATATAAGTAAATAAGCAATTTTTGAATATAAGTTTACATTTGCGGAAAAATTAAAAATTTTAAAGTATGTAAAGATGCTGTATACATCATTATTACTGGACAATTTGGACTCAAGAATAATATTATGAAAATATTGTTAAATTATATAATAAAATTTTAATATATTATATTAATTTTATACTTTTTATCATATTTATAGGCTATATTTGCCATTTAGCTATAATGTCAGCATATTTTTGGTTAAGTACTATCAGCTTTGATTTATGGTATAATTTTAAAAATTATGATAAGGCAAGAAGATTACAAAATCAAAGATATTTAAAATATTGTGGAATTTGTTATGGTGCTGCAGCAATTTTTACTATTTCAGCATATTTAGTTCAACAATCGGAGACATCACCTGATATTAAACCGGGAATTGGTGATTATGGATGTTATTTAAATGGTAAATTATTTTAAATTCTTAACATTTAAAAATCATTTTGTAATTTTAATTAATTTTAAAATAAAATTTTTTTTTAGTTTCGGAAGGTTGGTCTGCTATGCTATGGTTATATGGTCCATTAATTATTGTAATTTCATTTAATATAACAATGTTTATTTTAACATGGTATAAGATAAAATCTGTTGACTTAGAATTGAAACGTGTTACAGAAAATGAAAACGGAAAAAGAAATTTAAAACAAAAGAGAAACATGTAAGTATGCAAATGTATGAATGTTATACAAAATTTTTGCAATTTATTTAATGGTGACAATTTTCAATAAAATTGACATTCATAATAAAATTAATAGAATTATTTTTTTTAAAGGTTTCAAATATTTTTACGACTGTTTGTCATAATGGGTGTTTCATGGGTGGCAGAAATAATTTCATACTTTTTTAGAGGTTATGAATTTCTTTTCTATGCAACAGACATATTTAATATGATGCAAGGCTTATTAATATTTCTTTTATTTGTTTTCAAGAAAGATGTTAAAATTTTATTATTGAACAGGTGAGTATAATTAGTTATAACTAATAATAGGCTTATGATATATGGCGAATTCGCTTACGTGGCGAACGCATTTGTTATTTTTTTATAGCGAATTGATTTATTTGTCGAATCTTTTGAGCAATGTTAACATTGACATTATTTTAATTTAAACTATTACAACAAAATTCTTTACAATTTTGAACAATTCGCATACATATAATGTCATATTTTCATTTCTCAGATTTGTTTGGTATTTCGACAAAAAATCTAGTGAATTTTCCATACATTTAAGTTTTTTATAATATAACAAATTTCGTAAATTAGTTGATATTCTCTTTAAAAGAACCAAAAAAAAATAAAAGAAAAAAAGAAATTTATTATGCTTAAATTTATTGTTTACTTAAATTTTTTTAATTATTTTTGACCGTAGATATAACGAGATCCGAGGAAAAAACCAATATACAAAACAGTATTCTCAACAGTTATCAAGAACAATCAGCACTAATCTCAGTTCTATAAAATAAATTATAATTGAATTTTTACAAATTTCTGTGAAAGTTGGCAAATTTAACAGCGATATTTACAATTTAGTTAATTATTTTAAAAATGTATTTTTAACTTTGAAATTATTTTCTATAAAAAGAGAGTAAAATGTTCTGAAAAAAAGATTTTTAATTAAAAAAAGTTGTATGGAAATGTGCTACTTTATAAACCACTTGTTTGATTAGAATAATTATTTATCTACATATACCATGTGAAGAAAGATTTTTCAATTTAAGAATTACCATAAGAATTAGTGGAAAATGATTTTTTTTAATTTTACAAACTTTTAGATAAAAGTAATTAATTTCTTTAAAACTAAAAATCTTCCTTATAAACTCGTCTCTTACATTAATTTTACAGTTATTTCTCGAATTTTGCAACTAGTGTTTCGTTCCATTATTTATATAACAAAAGCAAAATTTTTTAGCATTTTGAACATCTATACAGGACGCATCGTCAGCATATTTATTTAAACGACTTATATCACCTTTTATATCTACATCACCAGTTTTTGAATTGATATGTACTGTAGCAAAAAATTTTCCATTATCTTTATGTCCTACTGCTTCTGTTGAAAATGCAATACGAAAACGTTTTACATCGCTACTATAAGTATTCGATGGTAATATATAAAAAGCTTCATTAATTTTATTTAATTTTATATCTGTTCGACACAATTCTTTAACAGTACTATTGTCATGTTTTGCAATTAAATTATTTATATATTGAACTACAAAATTTCCTAGTTTCGTAAGAAACTCATCATTAGTATCAATCATTTCGAATGGATCACATGTACACCAATGATCTTCAATTTCAATTTCTGAACAAGTACGATTTGATGATACTTCAATAAATAAACTTTGACATTTTAAACAATCTTTTGCTTGTTCTATTTTTATTCCATCTTCAATTCTTCCCGATAATTTAATAATATGTTTTAAAGTCATGTGAACATCATATGGATTAATTAAACGATTTTGATTAATTGTTATTGATTTTACAATATCTGAATATTCTTTTTTAAACCATGATGGCAACCAAATATATAAAAATGGTAGTCTTTCTTCATAAAAATTATTGCCGGAACCCCATCTCATACCATGATCACTTAAAAAAAATATTATAGATTCATCCATTATACCAATATTTTTTAATTTTTCAAAATATTCTAACATTTTCATATCCATTTCAGAACTTAAATCAAATCCATCATGACTAAATGTATTAAGCCATAAAAGACCAAAATATGAATTACCTTTTAATCTTTTAAGAAATTCTAAACCATATTCTAAAATATATTCTGATTCATGTTTTGAACCAATACAAGTTGATTGCATACGATGTTTTTCTACAATTAATTCATCTCTTATTGCTTTAGTAAATGGTCTTAAATAGAAATCAACTGGTTTCTTTATAAATCCTCTTTGTAAATAATTGAATGTACTTGCAGCTGGCCAATCTTCTGCATATATTGTTGCATATCCATATTTTTCAAAAAGTTTCCAAATAAGTGGACAGTTATCACTACCATTTTCTGTACTATAACATGATTCCCTTGAAGTTAAATTATATCCAGTCAAAAGTGGCATTAAATTTGGTAAAGTATTATCGCCAACCTATAAATTTATGTATATTTTAATATTATATATGTATTTGAATATAATATATAAAATAAAAAATTTTTAATTTACTTTATTATATCCTTGCATATCAAACCATTGTTGATCTTGACCATATAAAAATTCAGCAGTATTTGGCATCGATCTTATCAGATTTGCTCTTGACATACTATCAATACCAATTAAAAATACGCTAATATGTTTATTATAAACTTTGTCATATGTATTGAAACGATTTCTAACTTCAACTTTTTCAGGAATCATTGCGTGACCATTACTATATGTTTTATTATTTTGAGAATTTATACATTTTACTGTTATAAAATCAATACTAGAATCCAATTCAATTGTTGTTTCATTATACGGATTACAGTTTGATGTTCTAAAAAGAAATGAAAAACAAAAAAGTAAATCTCACATTTTTTCATTACCTAGAATAAATTTTATAACTTACTTGTAACTTCCATCAGGATTTGATCCATCTTGCCGCATAATTTCTTTATAACAGCAATCCCAATCCTTGAAACTTTCATTCGAATTCAATTTAGATTTATCAAAATGTAATTCATATTTTAAGGAATTACTATTGAATGTGACAAAAGTTAAAGTTTCATTTTTGGTGCAATTCTGATAAACTCGTTTTTCAAAATGTCGCATTATTGTTGGATCAAATGCATCAACATTCGGTATTTTGCAATTATTTTCATATACCAAATATCCAAATTGTCCTTTCACATGACGTAAAATATTCTTAAAATGTTTTTTTATCTCATTTTTAGCTAAAAATTACAAAAATTTTAATTTATAAATGTTATAATCTATAAGCAAATATTTTCGTTTTACAAAAATTAAAAATATGTAATTAAAAATTGACGTTGTCAACTGCAACGGGGCAGGAATGAAATATGTCAAAAATGAAAATAAAAAAAAAAATACAAAACAACAATAATCTAGCAGTAGAATTATTAAGAACTCATAAAACAAGTCAGATAAACACTTGTAGCTTATGTGTATTTTAAATTTTATGTAGCTTATTATAGCTACAATTCTATGTAATTTTGTTATACATACTTGTCTTACGCTCTACAAAATTCTTCAGTTGAATTACAGCATCATACTGAAATATTTCGATTACAATAAATTATTATCAATTTTCTTTTTTTGACTTCTGTGAAATAGTTTTTGATTGATAAAGGCTTCTGTGAAATAATATGATAGATTTTATTTTCATTTTATCATACCGTTACATAAAAGCATTAATGGAAAGTAATTATTTACCTATATAGTGCTATAATTTTATAGGGTCATACGAATTTAATATCACTTAAAATAATATTAGTATTTTTTGAAAGTTGAACATTAATTATATATGAATACTTAAACTATTATATACAACTATGGGATACTGGTATGATTAGTTGAATTTTCAATACGAAAAGGTTTTTAATTTAATGTACCTTGCCCAATTTAACTACAAATATATTTCACATATTTCGATATAAAATTCTGTCAATCGAATACTTTAATTATCGACTTCAAATTTAATATTTATTTCGATTCTTATCAATTTTTCCGTATAATATTGTACAAACTGAATAAAAAATTTAGAACACACTTTAAACTATTGTTATTTAAATATTATAATATGATGATAATTTGATAATTTAAAATATACATGAATTTTAAATTACTGTTAATTGACTTGCATTGATAATTTGACATGACACACGAGTATAATAATTTATGGTATGGAAAAAAATATATATACGGAATTAATAATAATTTAAGTGTGCAAAGTCAGTGTGTATTTTAATATATAGAAAAACGTGCCACATTAAAACGTGTTACGTAGAAAATATCTTATATGTAATAAGGTGAACAATAGTTTACAAAATTTTATTAGAAATGTAACATTAACGAACTATATGAAGAGTTAAAAGTAGTTTTATACAAAGTCAAACTAAGATTTAGAGCACGGTATTTCAGCAGGGTACTTTTATTACTCTACAAAATTGTTGTAATTATAACCGTAACTTTTCCATTATGTTTTGAAGCGCCATCTAGTGATAGTGTTGAATTTTTTTTCTTGTTTAACAATATTTTTGAATTATGATAAAAATTTAATATTTAGAATTTTGTTTTTGAATTCATTTTGGATTTTGTTTTTCTCAATTTAATTGAATTCTTTAAAAAAAATAATTGTAAAAAAATTCATTTAAACTCATTTATTTAAAAAATTAATAGAATTCAAAGCTCATTTTAAAATTTTTAATTTAAAACTACAATTTCTTTAAATATATGTGCATATATTTGATTTTAATATTTTATTATCAGAGTGTTCTGTAATCTCTGATTCAGTTTATAATAATATATAAAATGTCCTATAATTTTGTTGACATATACTTGAATTAAACACTGATTCATATAACAAAAATTGTTAAAATATTGTTATTTAAAAAAGAATATTTTATTTTATTAATTAAATAATTAATTCCCTGCAAGTTTCTATAATTGTGCGAAAATTCAATTCTTCAAATAATTTTATATTTCACTATAACCATAATATTAATTTATTTAATAAAACAATTACAATTATAATATAATTTAATAAAACAATTATATTTATTTTATGCGAATTAATTAATTTATAATTAATTATATAAGTATAATTTATTTACCATTTAGAATACTTTCTTGAAATCTATCTCGTGTTTTTTCAATATCAAATTCACCAATTTTATTAAATTTAATTGAAATGATTAAGGAATTTTGACAAATATAAAGTAACATAATGATTAAACAACATATTAATGCAAATTTTTTATTACATAGTAATCTAAATATAAAAATTAATTTATTTTTATTATTTATTTGATTAATTTTTTTATTATATGAGGAGTTTTTTAAAAGTTTTTCACTTTCTGAATTTTCAAATTCAATATTGTAATTATTTAACATTTTTTCCTATAGTGCAAGAAATTAACTTCTGTGTGATACGAAGAAAAACTGCTACTAGAAAAAATTTATTCTATATTGTTATCTTCAGAAAATCGGTGAAATAATATTCCCTTAAATATTAGTAAAATATTCTTTTTTTTTTTGATAAGATAAATAGCAAAAATTTTTTAGGTAATGATTCGGAAGTGCGATAAGTTAACATAAATTTTGCTATAGATTCTAAGTGGCCTGATAGCATAAAAAAAAATTTTATGATAATCATATCAATCGAATAGAGCAGAAGTTACTTCTATGAATTGCACTTACTTAAAATAACATAAATGCTTATGGAAAGAAACATCTGTTTCATATTGATTTTGCAAATTATGTACACATTTTGATTTTTTTTGCGAAAATACTAATCGAAAAATAATTACCATTAATTTTAATATTTGAGCAAATAATGACTGATAAGCTCTTACTTGTCTTTTTAGTTACTAAAAAAAAAATTTAACCTGTTTGGGTTGTTATTATGAACAAAAAATAAAAATTTCTAATGAATTATTTTTTTTCTAAATAAATTTATAAATAAAAAAATTTATTTATTTATTGGTTTATTAAAGCGCGTTAAAGATACGAAATCAGTTCCAAAAATAAGAAGAAATCAAGAGCATGTCAACTCTGTGATTAGCGTTTACCAATACATAGTTTCAGAGAAATTCATACGCAGCTTCGACGTCTTTGTCATTTATGTGCTTGTTAATAATTAGAATTTCCACAATTTCGATTTAAGTTTTTGAGAACATAATTTAGCAAGTGATTTGTATAAATTAATCAGTATTATATAACCTAAAAAAAATGCCTATTTATAATTGTCTTCAAAAATTTCTTACTTTTAAATAATTTATTTTTATTGTTTGTATTCGAACCACTGTCTTAAGGGCATGTCACCACAGTCAGTTATGATTGGTGAGACAGATGGACACACATACACGAGAATAAATCTCAGCAGAATTCGCCGCTAAGTAAGAAAACACAATATATGTGCACATACATATATTGTACCTAATTCCCAACAATTATTTTTCAATGTTATAAACAGACTGGTAAATTTATAACATCTTACGTAAATATTTCGTATAGAAAATATTAATATCAGAAAATTAATTATTACTCAAGTAATAAAAAGTAGTAGTTATTAGATGCACGTACTTAATAGGTAAGAAATGTTAAATAAAATTAAAATTAATAAAAAATTTTTAGTATTGTTCAAATTCTGCGTTAGAACTTTCGGAGAATAACAAATTGAAACTTAATTAGGTATACGTACTTACATATTTATTAATTAACTTAAATTTTTGCGAATATTTTTGCCAAAATGTAACAATATTCTTTTATTATAGTTTATATAATTTATTCCAAAAATTTTTTTGAATAAAGATCTTCCCTAATAAAATACAGAGATTTATGTAAGTGATCTGTGTACTTATGTACTTGTTAAACCTTTTTTTATTCTATTTTTAAATTATAAAAGCAAAAAAACGTTTGTTTTTATTGGTTATTTTATCATCAAGATTGAAATCAATCAATTTTCATTTATCTAATATTGTGTCAGATCACGATAATAGGGAAAGCGTTGTCATATTATATGTGTTAATTTTGATCAACAATGTTCTATTAGATTAATTACGAGCAATTACTTAATACTAAATAAAATATAATATCATTTTTATGTTGATATTATTAAAATTATATAGTTGAAGTATTTTACTGATAAGCTTATCTATCGCTTAATTATGTAGGTATATTATAGAAATTTAATTTGGGGTGCCCTATCTAAAAAATATCAAATAATATTATAAAAAATTAATCATCTTTTCGAACTTCTGTAAGGGTATTATACAACTCCATACTTATACGTAAAATTTTTACAGCCCTGTGAATTATTTCAATTAAATTTAAGTTCACTTTAGTTCAGCATTTTCCTTTATTTAGAAGTCAATATCTTCCGTATTTATATAAAAATAATCATATATCATTCATTCGATTTGCGAGAACGTGTTAAACAAATTTTTGGAATGGTTTTTAAAACAAATTTTTTTCTAAAAAAGGCCATTATTTAAAAATTTCTTGAAAAATGGAAGAAAAACTTCTTACCAGGTAGGAAGCTTGGCGAATATTGTCCTGTTACGCACCATTAAAAATATTTTTTTGCACCGTGGGCTTTATACCAAAAATAAGCTTTTTTTTAATCATTTTACTTGTTATTATTTTAAAAATTCCGCACATTTGCCATTTTATCACATTATTTTATTCGTACTTTTATATGTACATAAACTATTAAAGAAACTTAAGTCATTTTTTACTAGAAATGTTTTGAGGTTTAAATAAAAAATTAAATTAAACAACTATTAAATTTTGTTCACAAAAAGGCACCATATATTCACGTATTTTATACAATAGTTATATATGTTTTATATTTTTTCGTTAAGTAAATTAATTAATTACTTAATTATTATTGTATGTATTTATATTTTAATATTTTATTTTTTTTTGGTTTTCTTTCACTGTACAATGAATATTCTTTTTATTTATTGGCTTTTAATCACAGAAATTAAACAAAAAATCCTAATAATCTTATTATGTTAACATGGAATATTATGTACATTCATTTTTATTTTATTTTATACATTTTAATTTGTACATACATATTTTGGTATTACATTTGAAAACATATATAATTATATTTATATAAAAGTTTTAAAAATATAGTTTTAAAAATTAAATTTCTTTCGTTTTACAATTATGTAATTTCAAATTATTTCCAAATTTAAGTTTCATTTTTGATTCTTTTCAAGCAGGGTTTTAAACACTTAGGCCTTAATTTCAATAACAATGCAAGTGAAAAAATATATAAAATCATAAATGAACAAAAACAAACAAATAAATTTTTTCATAATTTTCCAATTAAGAAGAAAACTTAACGAAATACTAAATAATCAAATTAAATGATTTTAAAAATTTAAGGTGATTCAAATTAAGTTTTTGAGTTCTATCAAAATTTAACTTTGAGTTTAATTAAATTTAATCAAAAATGATGTGTTATTGATTTACTTTTTAAATTTTGATTTGAATATTTTAAAACAAGTTTTAAACATGTAATTTCATTGTTTAAACAAATTATATATATACTTTATTGAATAATGACATAAATTATACGTTAGGGCAATAATTTCAATTATTTTTTATATTAAATGACTAAAATAATCAATTATATTAAAAAAAAATCAAAAACAAACGGAAAAATATAAAAAAATTAATTTTTTTCAAATATTTTTGTTTCATGAAATATAATTTCATAAAATATAAACGTTAATTTATATATTGAAAAATTTCGTTTTATGAACTAAAAATCGAACTATAATAATAAACAATTAATAAGAAATTGAATAATTTTCTACCAATAAATGAATTAGATGGAAGACTATGCTTATTTCAAAATGCCTTCTCTAAATTGATTTACATACATACATAAAAATAAGAGATTTTTCATAATTTTTTTATATAAATTTGTGATGTATACTTATGTATATTTAATTACAAATACTTTTAATATTAAGTCCAAGTTTATTTTTGTGTTAACATATTTTTTGTTCATTCCAATCAAATCCTTCTGATTTTGAAAGTAAGTTATAGTTATATAAATATATACCTAAGCTTTGTTTATGTTTAATAAAGAAAAGTTTATTTTAAAATTTAAAAATAATATTTAGCTGTTTTTTTTTCATATATAGAAAAATGTTAAGAGTTTAAGAATTATTTTATTTTAAAACATTTTGAATTTGTAATATGTATTAAGTTAAAAATAAAATACAAAAAATAGTGCACTCTATTTTAAACAAAAAAAAAATTAAATTAATTTTTAAGCTTTAAATATTTTAATAATAGAGATATTGTCAACTATAATTAATAATAATTATATACATTTTAAAATTTTACAACATTAATTAAATAAATATTTAACATTTTTGTTTATTTCAATTATATTCATTATGTTTTTTTCTTTATTTGATTTTCTTCTAATATTTTATTAATATTAGTTTTATTTTTTTTTTTGTTAGTTTCTATAGGAACACTTATAAAAAAAACTACATGAAAAATAGAAAATTTTTATTATGTATATCTACTACATTTTAATTAAAAATGGTAAATCTTGAAAATTAAACAAATTCAAATATTTTTTTCTGTTGTGCATTTAAACTTAAATCTTTCTCGAAAACAAATATATATACATATATATATATATTATATTATTAATTAAATAAATTGAAAATTATAATTGGCTGCAAGATTTACAACATTTTTATTTTATACACTTTTATTTTTTATTTGTAAATGTATAAATCTATAATTTTAATAAGTAGTACAATATAGCTTTTATAACTAATTTAACCAGCCGGGGATCTAACAGCAGCCCGACTTGATGGATGCTTTGTACAATGGCAATATTTTTTTATACCAGCATCTGGTACACATTTTGATTCACTTGCATAAATATTTAAACGGCTTATACTGCCAGTAACTTCTAATGTATCGTTATCAGAAAACCGTCTTATTGTTGCTTCAAACATTCCACCACCTGGATTTGTTGTAAAAACAATTCTATAACTTTCTAAATTTGGTGGATATATATCACCAATTAATAGAGCTCTATATGATGCAATAACATCATGTAAATGTAATTTGGCGCATAAGTGTTCAATTGAACCATTTTTCCATGCTCCAATATAATTATTAATATAATCGATTGCAAATATTGAAACTTTTTTGACTAGAGTAGATTTCTTATATATACTTTGATACGGTATACATGTACACCAATGATCTTCTATTGATATTTCATCACAAGATCGACTTTGTGGCACTGGTTTAAATAATGTTTGACAATTTTGACAATCTGGTGCTTTTGGTAAATTTTTTACTCTACCAGATAATTCTAAAATATGCTTTAGTGTCATATGTAAATCAAATGGATTTGTTAAACGATTTTTATTTACACTTAAAGCATTTACTAATTCAGGATGTTTTGTTTTTAACCAAGGTGGTAACCATATAAATATGAATGGTAATCGTTCTTCATAATGCCCAGATAATAATTTTCGTGTTGGACCAAAACGCATACCATGATCACTAAAAAATACAATAACACTGCTATTTAATATTCCACGATCAGAAAATTTCTCTAAATATTGAACCATTTTCAAATCCATTGAAGAACAATCACTTATTGAATTATGACTAAATGTATTCGCCCAAAATAAACCAAAATATGGATCATCTTTATATCTTGTAGCTAATTCTAAGGCATAATCATATACATAATCAGCTGAGTGTTGATAACCTAAACAAAATGTTAATCCACTTTTTAAACGTTTATGAAAATTATGTTCTGCTTGAATAAGGAATGGTCTTAAATAATAATCTGTTGGTGGTTTTTCAAAACCAACTTTAGCATAGTTAAATGTACTAATACTAGTTTCATCTTCACCATATGCTGTTACATAACCAAGATCACGAAATGTCTTCCAAATCATTGGGCATTTATCTAATTTGCCTACAGTAATTGGTTTACAAATGTGATATCCAGTTGTATAATTGTAACCAGTAAGTATTGCCATTAAATTTGGAAATGTATTATCATCCATCTAAAATTTAAATTTTACATAAATTACATATATAAATAAATATATTCAAATAAAACATGTAGATTATAGGGAAACAGATTATTGTAATAGATTACCGTACCTTATTGTAACCGCTTAATTCAAACCATTCATTATCATAAAGATATTGAGCGGTTTTTGGCATGGCTCGAATTAAATTTATTCTAGAAATGCTATCTACACCCAATAATAGAACACTTATAGGTTTTGCTGTATCATTAGCTTTCCAACTATCAATTCTTTCACGAATCTCCGGACGTTCAGGCATCATAGCATGTCCATGAATATACGTTTGTTTTTTTCCACTCTTACATTTTACTAAGATATTATCTGTAGTTTGTGGAAGTTGCACCGTTTTCGAAAAACTTAAACAAGCACTTAATCTAAAAAAATTAAAAAAAAAAAAGAATAAAAATTTAGTAACCAGTTTAAATACCAAAATTTGATTACACAATATTAATATAAAATAATATTAAAAAATTATTAAACAAATTTAATAACAAATGCTTACATGGTATTTGTATCAGCCTTTTTACCAGTTGAATTTCTTTCAATTACTTGATAACAACAACTTAATTGATTACCATATCTTGTAAATTTATATCGTAAATTTTCATCTAATATAAGCATATAACGATTTGTTGTTGTATTAAATTTAACGCTAGTCAATGGTTGATCTTTTGAACATTCTTCATAGCTTTCTCTTTTGAAATATTTCATAACTTCTGGTGAATATGGATCCAAATTTGGCATTTTACATTTATCACTCCAAACAAGATACCCTGATGGAGGAGGAGGAACAAACATCAATGATTTACTAGTAGTAGTAGTAGTAGTAGAAGTAGTAGAATTGCTAGTAGTATTAGCAGTAGTAACAGTAGTATTAAGCGTATTCGCAACATTTTTTTTGTTTGCATTTTTATTAGCAATTTTAATATTTTCAATTTCATTATTATAATTACTCTTACTATTATTAATATTATTATTATTTATATTTTTATTGTCATTATTAATAGTATTTGTAATAATACTGCTTTCATATATTGTGTCATTAATACTACTAAAATTAAAATTTATATTTCTAATAATATTTGGAATTTTATTGTTATCATTAATAATATTTGAACTATTATTCATTAAAATAATTGAATTTTCAGAACTAGACTCTATGGAATTATTTTCTAAAATTAATAATGCTGGAGATGATGCAATAAGTACATTATTTGAAAAATCATTCTCATTATTTGAGATTTTATTTAAATTCGATACTGATGGTGAATCCGTATTATCCGTGACACAAAGTGAAGAATTACTTTTAAAATTAAAATTATTTTTTGATTTTAATACTCGAGAAAAATTAATAACTAATTAATTAACAAAAATTGTTCATTTGCAATCGTATGCGAATAAGATTAAGGTTATGAAGCAGTAATTATTACAAATTTTTAAATAATTTATTTTTATATTATGGTTATAAGTTTGGCATCCATTTTTTTTATGTTTTAGACGTTTAACATTTTTTTTTTGTGCAGAATAAAAGCAAAACCAAACAAAATTTATATGAAACGAGACAAAGGTACAAATAAAAGAAAAAAAGGGAAAACAAAAAAAAAATGAAGAAAAAAAAACAAACGAAAAATTAGTAAAATTTTAAATTTAGTTAAAGTTTTTTTTTTATTTCTAATGTTATTTAAATTCTAATTTTAACAAAAACAGAATAAAAAAACCACTTATACATGCTGGTATGTATGTAGTTTTACATAATATTTATGAAGACTGAAACACTTAGATAAGAACAATATAACTTTGAATATTGAAGTTTACAAGAACCAATTAATTGAAAAATTTAAACAAAATGAGTTTTTGTTTTGTAACTCTTAAAGGTGAGTTTGATTAGATTGAGAGTTTTTAAAGCGTACTGATGATTAGATGAGCGGAATTTTGTAATCTTAGAGCTCTGATTGAAAATAACGAAAATAACGTAAATTTAGAGATGTTTTGACTTCTTCCAGCTTAGACGCTCCTAAAATAACGGGCTCAACGAGCGACATTAGCGCGTTTTGATTGTGATAAAGAACAAAAATTTTCAGTTCTTAGCGTCTAACAGGTAAAAAAGAGAAGCATGACTTTCTTCCCTTTAAACAGATCTAAATCTGTTATAAAATAAAAAAAAAATTAAAACTGACCGAAATTGGTATTTTCTGTATGTCAAAATTGAATTTCTTAAAGAAATCACAATTTATTACAAGAAATTAAAAAAAATTGATGTTTTAATGCTTAATAATTTAAATCTTATAAAATATTATTTTATTATACATATAAAATATAAAGTTATATTGTTTTCGTCTAAAACACTAACATGCAACAGATTAAAAAATTCTAAAATTATCAGTCGGAATTTCTTTAAATTTATCAAAAATTTCAAAATAATTTCAAAATTTTCAATTGAAAAAAAAAAAATGACCAGGTTTGAAATAATTTTGAAATGAAATTCGGTTTTATTAGAAAATGTAATTCAGGAATGTGAATAGAAAAATGACATGCTATCAAAATTGTTTTAGATTATATAAATATTAAATAATTTTTATATTAATATTTTAAAACTAAAATTATGTTATGTTATATAATAATGTACATAATTATATAGAAACAAAAAGGTATAAAAAATTTTTTTTTAAAATAACTTTCTTTGTTGCTTTTTATCAAACCTTTAATTTATACATAATGTATATATTTATATATCTACAAAATAATTACATAATGTTTATATTTATAATATTTATTTTAAATGAATCTGAAATTATACAATTTATATACTTAAAATGACTTTTTATTAAAATAAAATTTAACAATCATAACCATATTGAATTCAATTCGAATTAAAGGCAATTCTCTATAATATGAAAAATTCTAAATTTTAATTTATTTTTTAAAAACAATATTATTAATATTAATAATCATGAAATAATATAAAAATCTGGGATAAAATTTTGGGATAATGCATGCAAATAGGTATAGTTAACATATTTTGAATAAAATATTATAAAGATGAAATTTTGCTACAGCTTTTAATCTGCATCCAAATGTTTAATACACAAACTTTTAGAATTATTTTGTAGGAACAACCAAAATTATTCCAACTGCAATGTTTGTATTTCCATTGCGGCTACAAAAAACTACTATTTTAATTTTTAGTACATACATATATAACATACTTAAATAAATATAAATTAATGGTTTAATATCATCCTTAAATGAATATTTTAATAAAAGCATTCACCATTACGAATAAAAATAGTCAAAACTATTATAATTAAGATGTTTTATAAATAATTTCAATATTTTTCAGAAATTTCGAAAGAAACGAATTGTTCCTTTTTTAATTCTATTTAGGAAAATTTTTCAATTCTAAATTAGGTCTTAATACAAAACAAGTTCTAAAAATTAAAACTGCAGAGTTTGCATTTATAGCATTTTCGAAAATGACAGTGTTGCTGTTTAAAGTTCTAAAGCAATTCCTTTAGAATTTTAAAGAATATTATAAATTAGAAAAAGAGCATTATAAAAATGTTGGATTTTTAAGAATTACATAAGAATATGTAATACCAAATTTGCAAAAGTATGTGTGAAAAGATTTTTAAAATTTAATTTAGAGCTTTCATAAAAAGTCTGAATTATTAGAAATCCTTTTCTTTTAATTTTTATTGTAAAAAAATTATTTATTTGTTACACAATCTTGTTTTTTTTTTTTCAAATTTTTTTTTACGAAATTTAAATTTACGAAAACTACTTCAATTACATTAATTAATGTTACTCAATGAATGACATTCATTATTATATTGAAATTGAATGACATTCTTTGGATTGAATTGAAAAATTGAAAGAAATTTAATCTTAAAAGTGAACTGTTCAAGTTTTAAATAAATTGAAATACAAAGTAATAATAATCAATGAATATTTTTCTCTTCATCCTAAACATATGCAATTTTTTTTTATATTTACTTTGTCACGGATGGGTAAAGCTCCCGCTGTTTTATAGTTTTTTTTTTAACTTTTCTTATGCTTTTATTTCTTCCTCCACGCTTTTATTTTGATTTTATATTTTTATTTCATGATTATTAATTTTAATAGCTTTTTTCTTTTTTATTACATTTCTAGTTTGTTTATTTAAAATTTTTCTATGTTTACTAAAAAAACAAAAAAAAAACAATAATAAAATCTAATAAAAATAAATTTTTTTCAATTAAAAAACAAAAAAATAAATGATCAATTTTAAAGATTTATTGGTACCTAATTGTTATTGTTATTAATAAAATTTATTTTTTATATTTTTTATTTTGGTAATATGCAAAAGAAATAAAAATTTTCATGTATGTACCTATGTTGTATATAATTATATGCTATATACTTTTGTATGTGTCTGTTTTAATTATTATATATATATATATATATATAAAAAAATATTTAATACCTTTCATTCCTGGCACATGAGAATTATGCAATACTGGGATTTTTTCTGTTGTTGTCCACGTCATTATTGTTGATGAATTAAAACAAAATATGAGTATAACGAAAACTAAGAATACAATAAGTCGTTTTTTCTTGGTCAGATGACTTAAATTTTCACTTAAATTTAATTTTTTATCTGTTGTACTATTATCACAACGTTTATTACGTACAATTTTTGTTGATTGTTGAATATCCAAAATTTGTTGATGTTGTTGTTCTTGTGATTGTTGTTTTTGGCATTTTCTATTTGATTTGATTTTTATATCAATACTACTTTCACTATCTGTAATAGAATCACTGCTATTTGATGATAATATTTGACGATGATTATTACTAATATTATGATTACTATTATTGTTATTATTATGACTGTTACTATTATTATTGTTATTATTTGTTAAAATAATTGAAGATGGTGGTAATGTTGATGAATATTTCGATGATTTTGATGTTGATAATGTTATTCTTAATATTCGATTTTTAATTGAATTAATATTTGATTTTATATCATATTTATTATTATTATCTATTTCATTATTATTGTGATTATTAACATTACCGTTTTCTAATTTTAATAATGGATCAAATACACTATCCTCTTCCTCCTCGTCTTCTTCTTGTTTTAAACGTTTGTAATCATTTCCACTCATATTTTCATCATTATTTATAATTATTGTTAATTTTATATAGAATTATTGCAGTTCAATTTTATTTTATTTATTTTTTTTTTTGATTTTCTGAAAATATAGAGAAAAAATTTTTTTTTGTAATTAATTTACATTGTGTCTTTTTCCAAAGCAATTTTAGATTTAATTTTAAAAAACATTTAATTTTTTGAATAAATTAACAATTTCCAGAGCCGACTCCGTTGTTTTACAATGAAATCAGAAAAAAAGGAGCAAGTATTTTTTTCCGTTCGTTCCACATTGAAAAAATAATTCCGTTCATTCCACATCAAAATTAGGGAGTCAAATGAATTTTCCGTTCATTCCACATCAACTATTATGAGAGTTTATTGGAAAATTATTTATAAAATGAGAATTGAAAAAATAGGCAAACAATGACACACAGTCTTTTTTGAGTCTTTAAACGAGTGTGTTTCACCCGAAGGGGGGGAGGGGGGAGGGGGGTTAATATCGAAAACTGACTATTATAAATAAATTGACTGGCACTTCAAGAATATTTAGAATTAGTGACCCTTTTTAGGGTAATATGTATGTATGCATGTACGCATGTAATTACAGAAGATTTTGCTATAAATTAATGAAATAGGAAATTAACAAATTCTTTTCATAGTTATGCTAAAAAAAAGAATGAACTTATAAATTTTATTCTATGTTACTTAGCATATTTCCACATTTTAACATTGTAAATATTAATGAATTAAAAATTTAAATGTGATAAATTGATTATAATTGACAGAATATTTTATTAGAAGAATATAAATATCTATATATGTGTATGTATGTAAGTAAAAGGAATTTTTGTTTTTTTGCTATCATTGAAATTTGCATGATTTTTATTGTGGTTAAAGTTATTTAGCATGTTCTATGATCTAGGAACAATAGAAATACATAATTGCTTTGTATAATGTAATTTAAAAAAAAAGATAATAAAGACAAAAAAAATTACGTCAATGTCAAAAATATGAATTATTTTTTTTCTCTTATTATTCTATTAAACAACTGAGATTTTTGATTGAGGTTAAGACTTTATTAAATAAAATTTTCTTTTACAATATTGAAAATTCGTTTTATTTGTACAATATTAAACAATAGATGTATGCATAGGTGTATGTATTAATTCACATACGTGTATGTATATAAAATAAGTGTACTCATTGAAAGATATACTGATTTCTGAAAGTTAAGAATAAAATTATATAGAAATTTTCGAGAAATCAATGACAATGTCCGAATTGACATGCTTTTGTTTTTTAAAATTTAGACCACATCATATTCTTTTATAAACTCACTTATTACGTATACAAAGTTCACTACAACTATTACATGTTAAACGACATCACTTATTACATGTTAAACGACATCACTGATATTTACTAAATGTTGATTCTGTCATGTTCACAACTTTGACATTTTGATATTTAGTCACTTTGAAAAATAGTTTAATTTTAATATTATAATTAAATTTAGCCAAATTTTAATATTATATAGGAAATTCATAATTTTTTTCACTTATATTTAAAAAATTATCCCATAATTTTCATAACTATTATTAATCTCGTTTTTTTTAATTTAACCTTTATCACCTGTCACGATATCTAAATTTAAATATTTAACCATTTGATTTTTATGTCATTTTTATGTCATTTTTGTTGTAAATTATTTGTAATTGGTGTACCTTAATAATTCTTCGGCATAATATAATTAATAATGTCTATAAAATAAAAAGGTTTAGAATTTATAAAATTGTGTGACTGTATGATTTCTTTAGTATTAAAAGAATGTAGTTTTTTAATGTAAATTACAAATAATTGTTAAATTCGGCTTGATAAACATAACCTTGAGAATATTTTTAAAAGAAGAATTCAAAATAAATCTTAAGAGTTTAGTGACTATTTAAAAACTACTATACAAGTGTGTTTTTTTTAAATACAAAAGAAATAAAATAACCTTGGAAAATATAATTTTATTTTTATGAAATTCCCCAATTTAAATTTGAAATGTTCTGATAAAATACTTATAGAACATAGAATTCTGTGTTGTGGCGCAGGTATTTTTACATAATTAATGAGTATACTTCAATCAAAAATTTGGAAATTGTTATAATATAATGCAAAGTTATTTAAAATCAGTAAAAATTATGATTTTTGAAATAAGGAAACAAAAATAATAGTTATGTAATTCATAAATTTTTATTTAAGAACGAAAGCAAAAACGATTGCGTTGAATAATGAAAAACTGACTAATTAAATTGTGACAACAGTACATTAGTAGGATGAAAGAAATGAAAGAAATAATGTTACACCTGGCATCCCTTCGAGCTTGTAAAAAATGGTGTTAGTATGGAAGTGAAAACAAATAAAACGAAGAACAAAAATTAGAATCGTTTATTTATACAGGTAAAGCCCGTGTTGTTTTTGACGACAGAAAGACGCGGTTTGTATCCCATAATAACATACAAAATTACAAGCTTTTGTTAACAAAGTGCTTATAAGAGGAAGACTAATGAACTAAATACCGTGTTTGATAGAAAAAATAGTATTTAAGTTTAGCCCAGACAAAAAACAAGAAGGCGCAAATAAAAAGTTCACATTTTGAGGCAACGTGCAACATTATTGGCATATCAAATTTTTGGCACGCAAATAGTTATTGAGTATCCATTGAATTTTTAGTTCACTTCTCTGGCATATCATTTTATAATATTTGCTTATTAATAACACTAAATTTATTTAAATACTTATAAAATTTTTATTTATTTTAAGCCAATCACGAAATTTAGAACAATAAAGTATTCTTTCCTTATACAAAATTCTATTTCTAATTTAATAAATTAAAACTATTTGTCTTTCATTAAACAAATTGACCTTTAATAGTCACGTTTCTAAATTTTATTAAGAAAACGTTTATTTTATTAATTTAATTATTGTTTTGTACAATTCTTGAATTTATTGAATGAAATATTAAATAGCATGTTTATATTATACAGCTGCAATGGTTACCCAACACTTAACAAAAATATTTGTAACATGTCTGAAGTAATGCTGTAAACAAATTTTAAATTTTTCTTTGTTCGCTATAGACCAAAATTCGTATTTATTAACGAATATTGTAATATTTTTTTCAAATTTGATATTTCATTCATTTTAAAATTTGTTTACACATTAATTTACCTAACCCAGCATTTACACGTACAAGTTACTTGCAAGAAAGTTGCAATACATACAAAAATTTTACTAACACATTGAAATATTTCTACTTGCTTGTTTACTTGCAGTTCAACTTGCAAGAAAATTTTGCTGCCAGTAATTTGAGCAAGTAATTTGACATATTGAGAAATTCACAAAAAAAAATTTGTTGTTTTGATTTTTTTTTTTTTTTTAATTTAAAATTTTTGAATTTTGTTTTGAAAAAATTAAACTTAGCAAACTTATGGTTTCTAAAATTTATAAACAATTATATATATTGCTAGTTGTTTTCTTCTCAAAGACATTTTCAAAAATTAACTTGCTAAACGCCTACGTCATAATAGCAAGTAATTTGACATTTCGAAAAACTAATTGACAATTAATATTATACAAACTTGCATGCAAGTAACTTGTATGTGTAAATGTAACTTGTATGTGGGTTATGTAAACTTTACCCTATAAACATGGAAAGCAAATCAAAATTTAATCAAAATTATTTTATTGTTAAAATCAATCAAGTGAGAGTTTTATGAATTATTTTTCTCTTTAAATTTAGAATTCTTTTAGTAAACAAAATTTCTTTTTATTGTAGATTTCAAAAAGAGAATGTAAGAGACTATGAAATATTTTATTATTTATTGTTTAAGGCAACCGTCGGCGAACTTTTGTGGGTTATGGGCAAATACGTACAATGTGAGTATAAGTATGGGACATTCGAATTACTTTACCTACTTACAAGAAAATTGAAATTTTTAAATGACTTTATTGATTAGTTTGTTTTGACAAATAATAAATTCGAATGGAATTTTATGTTCCTATATCTATTATCTATGAATTCTTAAAATTTTTTTGAAAAATTGTAATAGTCGCAATCGAATATATTTTTTTCTTTTGCAAGCAGTATGATGGGCAACATTTTGAGGTTAAATGGGCTGCATTTTGTCGACGGCTGGTTTGAAAAATTTTTTCGATAATGCGGATTTTATTTGGGAGAGTATGTCTCTTATTTACTCAAAATTAATTCTAGTTTATGCATTAGAGTAATTGAGAGAAGTTATAGAACAAATATGTATGAGGGAATTTTAAATTTAATTTATAGCTATTTAAAGTGATTCTTTAAAAATTGAATATAATAAACTTTCTAAAATTATTTCTAGAAATTGAAAACTTTTTTTCAAATAATTATTTTTCAAATTCGAAACAAAATTTTCCTCATTCAAGAAAAACATTCAAAAATCGAAAGAAATTGATATCAAGAACGCAAATTTAATTATCTGTCAAACAAGAGTGTCGTTCTGAACTCTAGCAAAACTATGTTGAAAATGTTGGAATCAAATATCAACGCAATAATATAAAGTTATTATATTTTTCCAACTAAAATCTTTCAGCGGATTAATTTAAATTATTTTTTTTTTTGTAATTTTCACATTTACTTATAAACTTTATGATGCAAAGATACTAATTTTATACGCGTATTTTATACAATATAAAAGGTTTGATTAATTCAATAAGACAAGTTTAAAAAATTCAAAAGTTTTTTTTAAATATTTTTTAGGTTAGACTATACTATTTATTTTACTTATTATTAATTAATCAAACAAAGATGTTGATGTATTGCGTACATGTTTGATTGTTTATTTTGTTGTATGCGAAAATCAAACAATTTATTTAACACTAATATGCGATTCTTTTTTCACATTTTTTCATAGTAAACTTCTTATTTAATTTCTCATATTGTTAAACTTTGTCAAATTTTCTAAAAATTATGCTTTAATTTAAACTTTTTTTATGTACATATATACAAATCCGTCCTGAAAACAACTCAGATCAAAAATATAAAATAATAAATCAAAATTATTTTCTTAAAAT